TTAGGGGGAGTGTACCACAAATAGCATTTCCATTTCGCATGAGAGCATTCAAAATGAATGTAAAATCGTGAAAACGAATTCATCCAGAAATATATGATTGCTTTAAGGAACGAATTTTAGTGGCAGAAGATGGATGCACCGTTTAATAACTTAGAGTGCTATACAAATATTACTCGTCGTAATTCTTCGATTACCTTTTATCGCTTTCTAAATCATGCTTCATATTTACTTTTTATAGTAACGTTAATTCATATTAACTTAAAGATTTTTTTTCTTCATATTATCTTTACCAGGCTAAACCCTCATATAGCCTTTCAAATAATCCAGTGTTCTTAGTCCTTATATCTTAAGCATTATTTTCCATTTACAGCATTCATTTTAGACAATAAATGTTTGCTTTGCAGGTACGTTCAACTTCTGCTGTTCAAAATCAAACTATTATGCCTTGTTGTTCTCTGAACTCATCCGTTTTTGCTCGAATTTACATTCACTTAATATGCTCTTATGTGAACCTTTTACTTTTCTTTTTAATGATGGCACTCAAATCGCAATTTTATTCTTGACGCTCTCCAGTGTTTATTTATGTCGTCTTAATAATCGTGTTAACAAATTTTATAAACTATTCCGAATTTTTATTTAAAAACCATACTGATACATTAAAAATTATTAAAATTATAATTTTCACTTGAATGCAACTTGAAATTTATAAATTGAAAAATATAATTACTGAACTTGGAGACTGAAAAGGATACTATTAAAGAAATTAATGTAGCAGACTAGTCACAAATATTGCCATCAGTAACGATAACGACATATCGTTTTAAGTTTTTAGATATTAGAAAGATAATGAAGATTAGAAAGATAAAGAAAAAATGTTGAGAAAATATGTGATTGTTCTTTACTCTCAAATTTTTATTTTATTTATTTGGATAAAAATAACATTTCATCCGCAAGCATTTTTTTTCAACGAGATATATTACTTTTTTCAAAACGCATTACTTAATTATTTAAAAGCATATACCTGATTCTAATTTTTTTTTAACAAATATTCTCGATTCTTTCAACTTTCGAAGCATATTCATAAAACTATCAGTTGTACAAGAGTTATAAGAAATTTATAGATTGTAAACACATTTAACTTGAACTCTTGAAAGAATAGTTGAGTCAAGAATTTTTCATAAATATTTTAATGTAGAATTTCTCGTGAAATTCTGTATAACTGCAAGTGTTCTATGTAACTGGCTTCTAGTTGATATTTACTATATCAACTAGAAGCTATGTATATGCTTTTAAAATCAGGTATATTTAAATGCATGTACCTGATTCAAATTTTTTTTAACGAATATTCTCGATTCTTTCAACTTTCGAAGCATATTCATAAAACTATCAGTTGTACAAGAGTTATAAAAAATTTATAGTTTGTAAACACATTCAACTTGAACTCTTGAAAGAATAGTTGAATCAAGAATTTTTCATAAATATTTTAATGTAGAATTTCTCGTGAAATTCTGTATAACTTCAAGTGTTCTATGTAACTGGCTTCCAGTTGATATTTACTATATAAACTAGAAGCTATGTATATGCTTTCAAAATTAGGTATATTTAAATGCATGTACCTGATTCAAATTTTTTTTAAACAAATATTCTCGATACTTTCAACTTTTGAAGCATATTCATAAAAATATCAGTTGTACAAAAGATATAAAAAATAAATAGTTTGCAAACCCATTTAACTTGAACTCTTGAAAGAATAGTTGAATCAAGAATTTTCCATAAATATTTGAATGTAGAATTTCTCGTGAAATTTTGTATAACTGCAAGTGTTCTATGTAACTGTCTCCCAGTTGATATTTTATTGCAATAATTCTATTGTAAAATTATTCTAGTACTTTCTCATAACACTTTTAAAAATCGATGTTTTTATCGAGACTCACTATAAATTTTAAAAAAAAAACATTTTGCTTAGCTTTATCCGAGTAAGTTTTCTGTATTTTTTTAGAGAAATAAAAATTTCTTTTCTTTTAATAAATAGAAAAAATTAAAAATAATGAAAAATAAATCTTTGGAAAATTTTATGTATAAATTGCGTAAATATTGATAAATATATCCACTTAGATATAGGATCGTGTGAATATTAATGATAAGAAAAGGATACCTTAAACTGTTTCTAATTTTCGTTCACTGCGTCACTATTTTCTGCACTATTTTCGAATCTTAGACAGAAAAAAAAACTGGTTATCACAGGATTATTTTAGTTAAGAGTCTTAGAAAGAAAAAAATTATTTTTCACAAGATAACTTTATTTTTGGTGTTTAAACTTTTCCGAAAATTTGTACATGGAAAAATCAAGCTGACGTCACCGGACAAAAAATTACTCACCCTAGTGCGCAAGCGCCGATGAATCGTTAGGCTTCGTTAAATGACACGGTGATCAAGTGACGTACTCAACTGCGTGCTTATAGCTTCAACGTGATCAAAGGCAAGTAGCTATCAGTGAAATATTTTTTTCGAAGCTGGAATTGTGTGTAAATATGGGTAAGTGTAAGGATGTGATAGAGTGGCAATAATGTTTGGCGGTGCCCATGGCCATACGGTGAATGAAGTTGCTGGATTTGCTGGCGTTTGGATGCGGACTGTTCAATGTGCCTACAAGCAGTGGTGTAATACACGTGGTCACGGTCGGAAAAAGATCCTGCATGAAAGGGATCGGAGACGTATTTCACGACTTGTCATTCAAAATCACTGCCAAACCCGACAGGAATCGCTTCAGTTTATAAATGAAGGTCCATCCCAACCTGTTAGTGAAAGAACATTGCGACGGGAGCTGCATGCAAAGAACATTTGGAGTTGAACATCTCGTAAGAGGCCATTGCTCACACAGGCACAAAAAGCTGCGCGACTTCAGTGGGCTAGGAGTCACCGAACATGGACAGTTGCTGACTGGCTGAATGTAATATGGTCTGAAGAATCACATTTTTGCTTTTATTAAAAAAGACTCACGTCGTCGTGTGCTACGAAGAGCAGATGAAGCATTTCATCCCGATTGTGTGCAAGGTCAGGTTCAGGTCGAGGACGGTTCTGTTATGTTTTGGGGGTGCTTTTCTTACAATGGATTGTGCCCCCTTACTGAGGTGGCCACTAACATGAACCAACAAGTTAATTTGAACATTCTGGATGATTAGATGTTGCCTTTCAATCAACATCTTCATGAAAAGTGTGTTGTCGATGCCCCTATTTTTCAAGATGACTACAGCAAAGCTCATCGGGCTGGAAGAATCTGTGACTAGATTTACGAACACTCAGATACTCAATTACATCTCGACTGGCCTGCAAAATCACCTGACTTGAACCCTATTGAATATATGAGGGATATGTTGGAACAACAGGTTAAACGTCGAAATCAGCATCCTCGCAATTTGGTGGATTTGCGTGATCAGATCCTCAGCGAGTGGTTTATACTGGATTCAACGTACCTGCAAAACCTTGTGGACTCACTTCTTAACCGAATCCAGGCAGTTATCGAATTCAGAGGCAAAGTTGCACGCGATTAAATGATGTTTTTCATGATTTCTCTAAGGGTGACTAATTTTTTGTCCGGTGTGCTTATGATAACTAAGTGTTATCTTTGATGTTTAAGATTGATTCGTCAAGTCACAGTGCGGAATGTGAATTTCAAATATTCTTTTCTTAGCATTAATACCTACTCTAATGACACTAGCACTCAACACAAGCAGTATTTTTTTTTAACTTCAACCTTTTGCAAGATAAGAAAGCTAACTCCTCGGTTTCCCCCCAGGTGGCAATGGAATAGGAATGCGGATTTCAAATAATCATTTCTTAGCATTAACCCTTACAAGGTGTCTCAAGACACTAACCCTTTGAACGGGTGTACTTTTTTTTTAATTTGAACCTTTTTTGAGCTAAGAACACTAACTCCTTGGTTTCTCACCAGATGGCACTGTAGAAGCTCTTATCAAGTAGCTCATAGTAACTGTACTATACATAGATACCACTTCTATAGACATAGCTGTAGCAGTTCGAAAGTTAAAAGGATGGTTCCATGCTAGGTGCATACCAATAACTGCCAACACTCAATGTGTCTGTACATTTCGGAAAAAACGGATCACTTTGAAAAACCCTGAAAAAAAGAATTTTTAAAATTCGATTTTTCGGGAACTATCTATCAATTTCACTCAAATTTTATATTTTGCCCGGCAAAATTACTTCCTAAAAATTATTTAAAAAAGTGTATATCTTATGATTCAAAATTGTTTCGATTATTATTAATTAAAATAATAAAAATTAATAAATAATTAATAAAAGTTATTTTTTGCATGGAAGTATTTTTGGATAAACAAATTTTGCAACTATGAGCAAAAATTTTTCAATTCACATTTTTTTTTTTAAATTTAAGCTCTCGAGATGCAGCGTAATACGCAACAAATAAAATTAACATTAAAACGTCCGAACTTATGACTGTTCTCCTGATCAAATTATTAGGACTATATTTCTTACTTTGCCGCGATTCCCTATGTTTTAGGAGTCAAAAATTCAAATCTGTCGAAAGAAAGGTATGTTTATTAAGAGAAAGTGTGTTTTTGTGTTTGATTACGTAACTTGAAATATCGCTAATCGCACTAATCAATCAGCCTATTTGAGATCACCCCCTTGAAATATTAAAATTGCGTCCTAGAACGTAAAGATCTGACTATTAGGTCAAAAGTTATTCAGAGTGGTTCGTTTATTTTTTACGTACTTTACATTTTTGATGATAATCTTCGATAAAACGTATAAGGAGATTTCGCGGAAAAAATTATCATTTTTAAAACACAGTTTTAAAAACGATAAATTATTAAAACTGTGGATTAAAACACAGTTTTAATAATCATTATTTGCTTTCCTTTAACCTTTTCTTTATAGTGACATGTGATGTCAACAGTTTCAGCAAACTTGTGAACATCATCAAAAAATGCGACGAGCGAGATTTTCACTTGGGAGTTTCCCCATTAATTTCGAACAACACAGATATATCATTGCAGTAAGATTCATAAGCCTAATTACCACGATGTGCACCTGAATTCGATTATGACATTCTCCTTTGTATTTCTCTTTGCAGAATACTCAATACAGCAACAAGATGCACTAGGGGACACCCTGTACTGCGGTCTTGTCTTTCTCATAGCAGGAAAATGTTTCAAACTGTTGTAAGAACATTAATATTTGTCCTTAAGAACATATTTTTGAAACAACTGAACTCGATTGGTAAGCCTAATAATTGCTTCAGCTTTCATTCTAAATCAAAAATTGCATTCGTTTATTTAAATGTTTGTTTATTGCAGGAAAATATAACCGTGTGAATGAAAGACAATGTTTTGATATGTTTGAGTATAACAAATTGAAAATTTGTTATGATAAACTGTATGATTTTGCTCAAATATCTCGGATTTCTACAATTTATGAAGCAGATTTAAAGTAAGTAGGAAGATACATTTAAAGCCTATTTTTAATATAAATATTTAGTCGCTGTAATAAAATGCAGTTTAATTGAGCAATTTATTCCAATTTTCAATGTTTTAAGTAACTTAAATTTTTTTATATATGATTTGTTTCGATTTGTGAATCAAATGCCCAGCCTGTTGGCTATTAGGTCATTAGGCTCGGTGCTCATTGATTCATTTCATTTAAAAAATTTTAAAGTGATTTGTTTCGATTTTTGAATCAAATGCCAGCCTGTTGGCTATTAGGTCGTTAGGCTCGGTGCATATTGATTCATTTTTAAACTTAATTTAGAATTCTTATATGATATTTGTTTCGATTTATGAATCAAATGCCAGCCTGTTGGCTACTAGGTCATTAGACTCGGTGCTCATTGATTCATTTTTAAACTTAATTTAAGATTTTTATAAGTGATTTGTTTCGATTTATGAATCAAATGCCAGCCTGTTGTCTATTAGGTCATTAAGCTCGGTGCTCACTGATTAATTTTTAAACTTTATTCTATCAAGTAATAAAATAAGTACTTCTCGGTTAGCCGGGAGCAAGGAAATTCAACTATTTTTTTTTCTTTATAATTTTTATTTCATTTTTATGTGTTTTAAATAAATTAACGAAGAAAAGAAAAGAAAATAGAGGAGACAAGTTTGACGACTTTTCGCTTGAGCCCGGCTAACCGAAAAGTACCATAAAATAATTAATCTGAAAGATTGCAAACAAAGATCTCTAGAAATTATTGTATTAGCAACCTCCTTTAGCGTCTATGTGTTTGCCTGAGTCATGATCAGATTCTATTTTATTTTATAACCATCGTTGAACAGCTGACTCAATTTTGTGTTTACGACTACAAATGTTCAACTCCGTATCCTTGTAATTTTAAACCCAATCCAGAAAACAAGGAAACTCTAGGATCAAGTATTGAAAGAAATTTGACATCATGGTGGACTCTTTGATAGAACTATCCAACATTTACGTTACATAGAGAGTTAAACAACGAAAACCTCCCACGGTTAGCCTGATAGCAAAGAGAATCTAACCCATGATCCGCTTTCCAGTAAGGATATTTTACGTCAGCAATGTGGTTGGTTCGAACCGCGTGCAGAATTAGTAATGGACAGCCATCTCTTGGATTCGAACCCAGCCATCTCATTGAAAGGCGAGTGGTATATCCCCTAATCCACTCACGTCTTAATTTCAATCCCTAACTCACGTCTTAATTTTTCAGTAATATAGATAATTACAATAACTTAAGACGACAGTTAGCTATGAGTTATGTAGATATAAACTCTCCAATACTTTTCCACGATCCAATTAACATGAGATATTGCGAAGCTTTCGTCAACGTGTGAAGATGTCATATTTTGTCTAGTTGAATGCAAAATAAACACAGAAGAAACATTAATATTAAAACGATATTAATGATCACAAAGAACATCTGAAGATTCCTTTATGCTCCAGTTTTAGCATGTAATGAGTCCAGTTTTAAGTAAACATACATTTCTTATTAGATTTATAGTTCCAGTGTAGCTTTGGCCCGAATCTGAACATCCGAAGATTCTCTTAAGCTCCAGTTTTAGTGTGTAATGAAGTTACGTAAACATACAATTCTTATTAAATTTATAGCTTATATGGAGCTTCGTCACCAAATAATATTTTTAGAGATAAACCAATCGTTTTTAGAGCTAGAGCACGTCTGAAACTTCATTATCTGGACTCAATTCAAAACCATTAGGATATTGAGCTGGAAGGATCTGGCAACAAAGAGAACTGCCTATGTAAATATTCTGGAGATGACAAAGACCCACAGCAGATAATTATTCTAATGGAGATGTAGTCTTGTAACTAATAACCCAATTCAGAAGACAAGGAAGATTTTGAAACAAGCTTTTAAATAAACGCTTTGTAGACGACTTTTTGAGTAAAGTAATATGCATTTACGTTGCCCCAAGAATTTAAAAAAAAATTTATAAATACAAAACAAGAAACATGACCTGACCAATCTACTATTTGTGCCATTTGAAACCCTCACTGTCAAATATTTGTAACATGCAAAAAGTTTATAGGCAAAAGTGACACTTGAATTCAAGGGATGTAAGCACGTTGTAATTAAACAAAATCGTCGCTGCATAAGCTATATTTGAATGACAGTCTCAAGTAAATAGTTTTTAAACACCAATGCATTCATTTCAACCTAAAATATGCGCTATCTAAATTTGGAAACTTAAAATTCTTTTGGTTACTCTTCAAATTTGTTTAAATATGAATTATCCTGTACACAATACAGAGTATTCTCTCGAAAAAAAATATTAACCTATTTACAATTCTGTTTTAGGTACATAATGGCTTGTTTTGAAGAAGAATTAAGAACTTGCAGCAAAGTTCACATAAAAATGCTTATCAATATTCTTATCGGTTCATTCCTTGGCGACGAAAAAGAATCAAACAGTATAGCCGAAAATAATGGATCTGAGTTTTTCAATTCTAGTAAGCAAACCATAAAATTCTTTTAAAGTATAGTTTACCGTAGGGCACAAGTTTAACTTTTCAATGCTCATGCCCGTAAGCTAAATTTCTCCTTTCCTGCATTATTCCAACGATTGAAATGTTTTACGATTCCTTCGGACAATTGAAAATTATTCTCAGTGGCGCGACCCGCCATAGAGACCTAAGGCCTACTGTGCCCATCTCAGTTTTCTTGACCTAGGGCTTTGGTGTGCAGGAGCAGATGTTCCGGTTAGGTGGTCAGTCGAAAGCGAAACCCCATTGTTTAGTTCCCAAGCATGCTTGGTACTCATTTATCGACCCACTGAAGGGATGAAAGACTGAGTCAACCTTGCCCGACCCGAGGATCGAACCCAGGACCTGCGGCACAGGAGTGCGAAGTGCTACCACTCAGCCCCCGGGAGTCTAATTTCCTCTGACATGATTTATATATACTCCACTGCAATGTGCTGCCACCTGCATTCTATGTGGTTGGTTATTTCACGCTTTCGTCGAAAGTAGGCCACATTAAAGTAACTGTACCATGTATATCATACCATTTATATAAGTCAGAGTGTTTTAATTTTTAACATTTGATTAAATAAGAGTATGCATTTCCTTACAAACCAATCTGCAAAAATGTTATCCCTCATTTTTGGATCTTTTTTATAATTAATTCATGTATTACAATAAGTTTGATTAAACTAGTTCTTTTAGAATTTTTTTTTTATTTTAGGAAATTCTGAGAAAAATACAACGAACTGTAACGGAAAACGTAAGTGATTTTTTTGGCATATAAAATATCTTCCAACTTGTTAACTTTTACTCGTACAACAATATTAAAACACTTACAGTTACTTTTATCTTAAGTCCTGGATTGCATACGTTTCCAAGTCTCTAACCTTAACCATGAATGAATTCACAGATAAAGCTGAACATATGATAGTAGTAGTGCAAAAAAGCATTACGATATGAATCATGCAACATGGGGTGTTTATGTTTCGTGTAACATGAGTTTTCGAGTAACATGTTTCATTTGAGATCAGAATATTTTTTATTTGTTTCTTGTAAAAGGTAGCTATTTTTTGTGTATGAAGAACATATTTGTGCGTTTTGTGAAACTTGAAAAACGTTCTTAGGTCTTCCATGTAACATGAGAAACAGTCAGATGCTCCATGTAACATGAGGAACATTTACAAGAAACATCACATAGCACAGTTAATATTTTTATGTGTCTAACTTGAGGAACATTCTTGTGTGTTTCGTGTAACACGAAAAACATTTTTGTGTTCTTTGCAACATGGAGAAAACTCAGTTTCGAGTAGCATGATAAAAGAAAATTAAAACATTCAATTCCATGATAATTTAATTAATTTAATATGCATGTCGAAACACGTGATCTATATTTATCTCATTCTCAATTTTTCTTCTAGCTGGAGAGAATTGCTCTTTTAATGATGCAATGAACCGTAAGTTTCTTATTTTTTCAAATTGATCTCTCCCCTTTCTTTCAGCTTATGCGGTTGCGACTAATACATAGGTTTTATGAACCTACGAGTTTAAATTTTTGGAGATAATCTCAAACATGTCCATTTTAAAAGATTAAACACAGTGTTTATTAATTCAGCTTAAACAGCGATGCTGATTATTTTATAAAACAGGTCTAAATCATCTTATCACTAAAAATAGATTTTTTTTTTGATTAAGTATACATTATCCAAACTGCTGCATAACTCTTTTTATTCCCCTGACCTCCTGAATTAAGAAGCATTTTACTTTATGAAATTGCTTTAAATCATAATAGTTTCTCGAAATATCCCACTGATTAACCCATAATTATTTGTAAATGTAATTTATATGCCGGCCGTGAAAGCCTAGTGGTTAGGGAATCGAACTCCGGTCCGGGGAGGGTTCGATCCTCAGGTTTGCTAAGATCTACTGAGTACATGCGATATACGTGCTCATAAAATATATGGAATCTAAAGTCCTGTGGTCAGTAGCTTAGCAATACAATGGCTACAAGGATTTAGAGAAAATCCCCTTCAAACAGATCTGTATCTAAATTGAGGAAGAAGCCTCACGGACAAGGGGTGCTGCCATCTATCTGTGGGATTCTGAAATAAGATGTACTTTCACTCTTGCGGTGCTCTTTTCTCAAACAGAAGGACCACCTTTTTGATTTAATTCGCAAAAGGCAAATGGCTGGTGAGCTTGGCTTGTCCGAGTATCCTTAGAAAGAACAATTTGTGTGTGATATCTTTTTTAAAATGCTGTATTTACTAATAAAATAAAATCATTGCTTTTCAGGACATCCACGTGAAGCTGAGTATCGAAGCGTTAGCGACGAAGGTATACCAACTTTATATGTAAATTGTACCGTAAATAGTTGAAATTCGTTCCTTCTGTATTTCTACTACTAGTAAAAACGCGAGCTACGCACGAGCACCGGAAATTCCGTGTTCGTTCAATAGTAAATCTATAGTAAATCGTATAATAGTAAATCGTAAATAATCGTAGTAAATCGTATAATAGTAAATCATAATAAATAGTAAATCGTTCAATAGTAATCTATTTATAGGCATAGAAAGAAACACGATTGGTGTCAAAGCAAAAGAGGTAATCGCTTCAAGCTTTCAGAAAAATCAATGTATATCTGCGAAAAAATAAAGCATCGTATCAAAGACGCAGTAAATCAATAAATCTGAAAATTAATGAATCAAAGAAATTATAAATGTAAGAATTGATTAACCAATGAGTAAGCGAAACAAAAAGTCTTTGTGCCAACGAATCAATAAATCAGTAAACGAGTAGATTAATGAAGTATCGAATGCACTTTATAATAAAATCAGCAACAGAGTCAATCGAGGAATGATGGATTCTGTGACTTGTTAATTTGCTCATTCATTAATTCCCAGCTAAGCTGATTCATTTACAATCTGATTCGTTGGTTTATTAATTTGCTGACATGTTTTCCACTCATGCGTCGTTTTGCTAATTTATTAAATCTCTGTTTCCATTATTATTCTGATTCATGATTTATTGGTTTGTTCTTTCCTTGCTTTACTAATTTGATTTGTCTTTTTTTTAATTAATAAATTATAGATTTGCATATTCATTTATTTACCCATACACTGATTCATTGATCTGATGATTGATTCACTATATATTCATGTATAATTGTTGAGATCAAATGCAGTAAAGTTAGGGTTTAGGCCTTCAAACTCCGGTTTATTTGTCTGACGAAATAGAACGCAATTTAAATTTTGAATTTTCTCCCCAAAAGGTCTGTCCATCTCAGCTTGAGCCTACCTCTAGATCAATTTTCCAAGAGATCGAGAAAAAAATATCATGTAATGGTATGCCTTTTATCCGAATTGGATAGAAATCACATCGTAAAAATGATATGAATCCGTAAAAAATAATTGCATTTTCTTGCACTTGGCCCTGTACCAGCCATGATAGGTTCTCACTGAATGGCACAAGCTTTAATGTAGAAAAAATGGCCATATAAGTACACAACCGATGAACCCTCCATCCCAGTACTTGGTCGCAGCTAGTGTACCTTCTGAGGTTGAGCTTGAGATTTTAAATTCTTGAGCGTAAATTTCAGCTTTGGCGACTAGCGTCATTTCAACATTGGCGACATTTTTCAAAATTGCGCCAAGTGTGTGCTTGAATTTCACCAAAATTTTAAAAAGAATTACATTTTTAAAAATAACCTGAAATTTTAATTAAACAATCAATACACTGTATTTAGACAAGCATTTCTTCTTTAAATGAAGTAACTTTTAAATATGTTTATTTCACGCCAATTTTTTTAAACCATTTTATTCCCTGATTCTTTTAGCGTGTTGAAAATAATCTTTATTTTTTCATTATTAAATCTAGTTTTGAAATTTAAAAAAAAAAATATATTAAAATGCGTTCTAATAAATTCCCTTTACTTTTTTAGAAAGAGACAATCTGAAAGACGAAATTGTCTCTAATTTAGATGATGATTATAATGATGGAAACCAAGACCTTCATAAAGTTAATGGGAGAAGTGATTATAATAATTTTACTGAGGATGGGAAAAATACATACGAGTCCGATGAATATGACGACTCGGATGAAAATTCACTATCAAATGAAGATGAAGAACATGATATAGTTCGACGACGAGGTATGCATTAACCTCATACAATATATTCCTATAAATATTGTTTTACAATATTTACATGATGCAAAATAAATTTTAGTGAAAATCCTATAAATAAAATGCACTGAAATACTTATAAATTAGGTTTTATTTCATCATCATAGTTGGCCAGACAGCCCAATGTGGGCCATTGCCTTCCTCTGTAGAATTCTCCATAACGACTTTTGATTTCCAATTCTTTTCATTAATTGTAGGAATATTAGACTTCACCTAGTCAGCCCATCTCAATTGCGGTCTTCCCCGCTTTCTTGTTCCAGTGGGTCTAAAAAGCAGTATTTTTTATTTTTTTATTGTATTGTCATCACTCATTCGTATCGCGTGGGCCCTCCAATTCATTCTGTTTATTTTTATGTATTTAATAATATCGGATTGTCTATAAATCTTGTACAGTTCAAAGTTAAATCTCTTTCTCCAGTTATTGTTTTCATTTACACCATTACAAGTATATTCCGCAAAATCTTTCTCTCAAATATTGCGATACAGTTTTCCTCCAGTTTTGTCATTGTCCAAGCTCTAGAAGCGTATGTCAAGACTGGACCAACAAGAGTTTTATTTTACAGATAAAAAAAAGACTGCAGAACATATTCTTCTACAATAGCGTAAGTAGGACAATAACGCAGATAGCAAATCAATTTCTTAATGTGTACCATACATCGAAAAAGGCGTGTCCTTGTCGAAATGGGCGTTACTTTCAAGGTATGCGAGTTCACATCAAGTCCGGGTCACCAATGTGGGGAAATTAGTTATCGACAAAGTCAACCTTCATCATTCAAGAGGTATCTCAAGATAGAATCTAGTTAACACGTCTTATGTACTAGTGAATTGATGTTTAATATTCGTAGGGGTAGTACACACCTTCTCCTCGAGAGCCTGTTGGTCTTGCATTGAAGTTTTTAAACTAGTATAATCTTCATGCATTCTGATGACAAGACCTGACATTTTATTTTTTTAAGTATATCAGCTGATTCCTTATATAAGCGGTATAGCTATAAATTATATCTTCTTAACTATGCACCTTTTTTTATATACTATACCTAGTAAACACTGGTGTTATTAGGAGAATTTGCAGAATTGGTCGCTTATCTCTAGAACTACTAGACCGACTTACAAACTAGAGGGATGTATGCCTCATGAGGAATAATTTTAGGGGGCAACATTCGTTTCGGCCCATAGAAGGTCCTGTGAGAGATAAAAAATAATTCAATGTATAGAAAAATCGGTATTTTATTACTTCAATGCAGACTATTAGTTATAGTAATTGTCTCATAATGCAATTAATTTGTAATTAATTTTCTAATTAATTAATTTGCTAATTAATAAATTAATCCAAAAATTTATTAATTATTAATTAATTAGCTATTAATTATTAATTAATTTGCTAATTAATAAATTAATCCAAAAATTAATTAATTATTAATTATTAATTAATTAGCTATTAATTGTTAATTAATTGTTAATTATCTATAAATTAACTAATTGATTTGCAATTACATACTCCAATTAATTTGGAAAGTTTTTTGAAGAAAAAAAAATTAAAAATTTTGATGTCATTTTTTTTTTTTAAATTAACCTTACAGGTTTTTCTGAAAAACTACAGATATGTAAAATTTTCGAAATCAGTTTTGAGAATAAATATGTATTATATAGTACGTGAAAGTATCACAAAATTAATTGGAGTATGAGATAATTACAATAACTAATAGTCTGCATTGAAGTAATAAAATACCGATTTTTCTATATATTGATTTATTTTTTATCTCTCACAGGACCTTCTATGGGCTGAAACGAATGTTGGCCCCTAAAATTATTCCTTATAAGGCATACATCCCACTAGTTTATTTCAAAATTGGCGAGTCACACTTCCCTAGTTTCCCTTGTTAGAGAATTTGCAGAATTGGTCGATTATCTCTAGAACTACAGGACCGATTTTAATGAAATTTGATATGAGCACACATTGATACAATACAAAGCAAATAACCATTCAACAGTTGTAATACACAAGCATGATCGTGCGTAACACTCGTTGGAGTCAGAAGGTATAAAATTGCCAAAGGACAATTCAGGCCAATTGCCACAGGAAAGGATAAACTGCCTTATTTCAAGTATGAAATCACGCTGCAGAGCCTGTATACCTGTGAGAAGGGACCATAACTATACTATTAAACTTTTTTTCGCTAATTCTGCAACCGCCGTTTCACACTTTCCGACTCCAACGAGTGTCACTCACGATGATTAGCGTGTATTATGCACAATTGTTGAATGACTATTTGTTTTGTATTGTATCAATGTATTGACATATCAAGCTTCATTAAAATCGGTCCAGTAGTTCTAGAGATAATCGACCAAGTATTCAAATTCTCTTAATTTCTTACATCCAGTGTACATACATGTCAGTGCCTTTCTCACAATGGCAATAATTTTGTGTTTGTGAGGTTGAAAACTATAAACTTCATTCTCATAAAATATATTTTCTTAAATAAATTTCTTAAAATAGTCAAAGCAATTTCTTCATTTCAGGTTTTGAAATTGATTGCGAAGCTTCAGATAGAAGTAAGTTACGTTCATTCTAATTATAAAATGAGAAGTACTAATTAATACTCATGAATAGTAAAATAATAATTAATACTTTATAAATTGTAAACATAAATGGTAATTAGGATCACGCTATGTGATTTAAATTACACAGATATGAAAATGCAACCATTGTTTATCTGCTGCAAGAATACAGCAGTTTGAAACTACGACATCAAAATTTTTCTTATCTATCCTTAAAAATACTGATCTGAAATGGGTGACATGTTTCCCCCCACTTATTATAAATATCAGTACAAACAGTACAAAATAACAGTACAAGGAACGCAAATGAAATGAAAAGCGAACGAACGGATCGAAGGTGAAGTAATACCATTGATGAAATTTGAGATATTGTGCCAGACTGCTTCGAACATTTTTATTGACTAATTATCGGTCAAAATATTCACTCCTACCCTATGCATGAAGTAGACTATTCTGCTTTTCTATTCCACCAAAACTTGACCTCAGAATACCAAAATTTATATGTATGATGTCAAGGAGAGGCGTCACCCTAGGAAGTTCTTCCACCACTAGCGGTAGAGTAGCCATCAACAGACTAAATAACTGTAGTGTATTTGCCACAAGGTTCTGGTTAAATATGGAACAACAAAAAGTCCTCGCACTAATTGAGGTTTGAAAGTTGGAAGTTTGATATACCAGCTCAGGAGCTGCCCAAGACGTCTGTCCAAAGTCAAGATTAAGTGGGTATAGTGGCTATTTCCCTAAGAAACAGGGCTATGTATCCTGTCAGGGTGAGGTGGTGCATGTATCTCTATTTCAAACGACTTTATCACCATCATAATATTGCCATACAGTGCCACCGTTGAATCAAAATGCAACAACAACATGCTAGGCAAATGTGGATACTTTTTCTAAAAATTCAAATCTGCAATGAAAAAAGGCTTTTGTTTTACGAGATTTTAAAGTTGCTCTCAATCTACCTCCGGGTGATAAGATTTAGGAGGGTCGAATTTGATATAAATTATTTTGAAAATATTTCACACGTGTACTTTCAGATTTTCATCAGATCCAATATGCACTTTTTGAAATATTTGCTCGTTTTCATACATTACACCCTTTTGCAAATGATTTGAAAATACAAATGATTTGACACTCGTAGATTATGGAAAGTTTTTTGGATAACTCTGGGTGAGGAAAAATTGGTAGTTTTTTAAATTATAGCTAAAAAAGACACTGTTTTATCTCTGGTAGTACAGAGTACGGAATGTACAAAAGAACGTATTTATATTTCAGAATTAGAGTCTTGCATTGAAGACATCAAACCCGAAATAATTGAAAAATGCATGCCAGGTATGGCGAATTTTAACTACACCAATCGTCTACCAGAAAATGAAGCAGCATATAAGTTGTAAGTCTAAATATTTTTTATTTATAAATTGATATGTATATTTAATGTGTAGTCTCTTGAGTTTATAATACCCCTGCTAAGACAAATCCGCTGGTCCAGCATCACAAAATTGTTGGAAGCCAGCAGCTAAATCGAAGGGTCGGCGTACGCTTTCCTCCACTTTCACCGATGCAAAATTAGATTGATGGCCAACTGTCGGCCCAATTACTGTAGGGCCGTTTTCTGGTCAACAGTATTTGCTGGCTAAAAAGCACAGAGTGAAGAAATTACACAACATTTTTTGTGGTGCTACCTGCAGATCGTCTTCAATGAAACTTAATAAAGTTATAAAGCATACTTTAAAACAAAATTCAATTATTGGTCTCATTTTGGAATTTTTCTTATTACGTTCAAGTATTAGTTTGCGACTCTTAATATTGATAGTTTTTTAGGTTTACAAGGATTCTAAAGTTATTATGAAAACTTTATGTTGATATTTAAAATTAATATTACAAATTGATTGTTTTTTGTCTTAAAAAAAAAAGATATTACTGTTTTAGCGAAATTTTGTCAAAAAAATTCAAGTTAACTTGTTTCACTGTTGTTGTTTTTTCTGCATTAAATAAAATACATTTTAATTCAACTAAAAAAAATTCCACCTACTTGTATGTTTTAAAGTTTTTAAAATTTAAATGTTTAAAACGAATTTTAATCTATTTTTTTTTTAATTGAAGAATGAAAAAAAAAACCTTTTTGTTTCCAATTTAAATTCTAGACCAAAACAGTAACGAAAATTTTTTTAGAATTCTCAAAATTTTTCCTTACCAGAATTTGGTTAGGTAATGTAATATTTTAAGCGAAGAATATTTAATTTTTTCCCGAGAGAATTTAAGAAAAGTCATTTAGGATATTTTCTTGCATCATTTTTTTTATCGCAGCTTTCAACTACACGGATATGGTACATAATTTCCTTTTTTCTTTTTATTAATAGAAAAGGTTGCATTAATATTAAAACATTAAAATATACTAGTGGGCTGCGCCCCTTGCTCGCTAACGCTCGCCAACCCCTGAAAATTGCTACGCGATCTTATATGGTTTGCTTCGCAAACCAAGCTCGCTTCGCTCGCTACTAACTTAGGTGCATTGCAAATACACAAAATTCTAAGAATTCAAAACAATCATTCAAATCCATATAACAACTTTTTTTTTAAAAAAAAATTACATCTTTTTAGTAAATACTATGTCATTAAAATAAATTTGAATTCAAATAAATGACATGTAATTCGTTAAACCTATTAGAACTGTGCTATAGTATAAAATCTTAAGATAAAATTTCTAAAACTGATATCTCTTTAAAAAGGTTAAAATTTTGGCTATAATTAAGTCTATTAAAAATTGAAATAAGTGAATTGCAATGGAAAAACCTGCATAAACAAATAAATTCTAGTAAAACAAATAAATTCGTGATATAAATCAAAAATCGTCAAATAAATTCGTAATATATAAATTCATAAAAAAAAGCGCTTTCGACAAAATACTAAAATAGAAATCTATCGACAAAGACTACTCACTTCTGCCTAGCTCATGCTCTCTTTGGTTATTTCACTTTTTAAAAGCACTATATGTTGAGCCATCTCAGCGAGATTTGGCATGTGACATTTTTAGCGGCAATCATTGGTCGATTTTCTAGCGTTGCCATTCGGGGAGTTGTATTGAGGCTTTTTTTTGTCGCCGTGCAAGAGAAATATATATATAGATATTCATCAAACTATCATAATTTATAAACGGTTTGAAAAAATATTGTTGAATGATGGTATTAATAAAATTTTTAATTTCTGCCTTTTTTCTTTCTTTTTTTTTTAAATTTTTTACAATATTTTCCAACTTAATACATTTGATTTATCCCACTGTTAAAAGGCAATCTTGTCATTTTTTTTCAGGCAAAAATATAATTCAGAAATTTGTCTGAAGCAGATATTTCGAAAATGCAGCCAAGAAGCCAGATTTCGAATTAAGACAAAACTAAAAAATCTAATCGGTGTCAATTTGAACATACTACATAAAACAGAATGTAAGTAATTTCTTAAAATTTCTCTCTGCTAATCTTCCTTAAAATATAAACCGATTATTTAATGTGTTGGCATAATTGAAGAGGTGTATTAGTGTAAAAGGCATTTATGAAAATAAAGCTTCATTGGGAATTTTATTTTCGTCTTATTTAGCTTATTTCTTTATTTATTTAGCGAAATCTTTTAATTCCGATCTCAGTGGATGAAGGTTCCTGTCTCTTAGTGTTTTGGGAGTAGTTTGGCCATAAACTGTTGACGAATAACCTTAGAAAAACTTATATTTAGGCAGCAAGTAAATACGCCAAGAATATGAATGCCATGACGCTAGTAGCTTAAATAAGTGTTAGAGACTTATAGATTACGATAATGCGAATTGGAAGTTAGCAAAGAAAAAATATAGGCAAGACTTAGTCTTTGTTACCTATTGTACTTCATCACCTTCTGTTTCGAATATAGTGTAGTGGTGAGGAGAATAAAATTTATTGAAAAAGATTACATATTAAATGGCCGAAAAGATTAAAAGGAAAAGATCAGCGTGAAGCTTTAGAATTCTGAACTAGGCATCACGATCAATAGCGCTAGCCGTCACATTCACCTATTCAAAAATAAATGTCTGAGCTACAGTTGAGACTACAACAAAGGCCATCTGTTGGCCAACTGTTATGAGTCCTGTAGTTGTTGACTAACAAACAAAAGAGTTTTAGATGTTTTGCCAGCAGATTATCGTCATCGAATCAACAACTGGAGGCCTGCAATTGGTGTACGCCCAACAACATCTATGCTTGTTCATTTAACTTGTGTCTTACAGAGAAAAAAATTCTTGTATCTGATCTAACTAAAACATTTGCTGAACATTTCTTTTTTATTTATTTCTAGCAACAGCACTTGATGTACATCATTCGCTGGAGTGTAAAAACTCTCCGCACAGACCCATAACGAATAACAACAAATTAAAAAAAAAGTCAACGTATTAAAACATTTGAAATACAAAAACAATTAGAACAAAGAAACATTAAATAGAATATCAACATAGAAATGTAAACAGAAAATCAGTCAGTTAGCAGTGGCTGCAACTGTTCCCTAGCATTTAAGTATCTGTCGTAGATTTTATTTGTCAAATGCCAGTTACATTAGCCGTTAGGCCATTAAACTTCTTGCTTGCCAATAGCGTAGAAATATATAAGAAAAATCTGTCAGCGCTTCACACTCTTCCAAATCTTCTGCCGTCATTGGCCGTCCACTATCACATATAACACACAAAGGTGAATCGGCTAGTTCAATGTGAAATAAATGATTCTGTAGATAATCATGCCCCGTTAAAAGTCTAAAAGATGCAATCGCAACTGATCGCGGGTGGTCAGGAATAAAAGCTGAGTTTTTTAAAAGAACACTCCGAGGATTGCCCCGAGTGGCAAAACTTCTAAAAGTCTTTTGATATATGAGTGATGTCAGCAGTTTAATGGAATGGAGGCTTGCTTTAGTTTTGGGCTTTCGGAGAACCGCAGCTCCTCTTTTGGCAAGCATATCTGCCATCTCATTTCCATAAATACCGCAGTGTGAGGGCACTCATTGAAAAGATATCTTGTGTGAAAGTTCTTTTATGATTTCCTGGCACTGCTTGACTAACATGTTCTTAAACTCTTGATAAGAGGAGGTTGCCTGCATTGCTGAAGTTGAGTCTGAAAGGATGACTGCTTTCTTGAAAGAGTTCTGCATCAATGGTAGTTGTTGAAGAGCCACCTGGATGGCTTTCAGTTCTCCATCAAAATGCCCCTACGGTATCTGTCGTAGATGTTGCCAGTAACTGCGGGGTAGACCCCCAGATGCTCAATATTCATAGGGGAGTCCTTCCCACACAAGACACAGTTTGGATCGGGAAAGATATTAAGTCTATGGAGGTGAGCAGCAAGGAAGTCGTGTCCGGTTTCCAACCTAAAGGCAGCTACCGTAATGCGTCTCAGGTGATCAGGGGTCCTATTCAGAGTCTCCCTCCAGACCTGGCCACCAATTTGTTCATTAAAATTATTTTCATGACTCTTAATTATCGCGTTTTTATTTATTCTATTTATGGAAGAATAAGGAATTTCGCTCTGGAATCTCTGTAAAATACCAGTTCCTTTTTTAGCAAGAAGATCTGCCATCTCGTTTCCATAAATATTACAGTGAGAAGGAATCCACTGAAGCAAAATATTCTTCTTTAGGGACAAAAGTAGCCCAAAATTTTCCTTACAACTTTTAATTCCAAGAGAATCAGAAAAATCAACAGATGTTACTGTTTGGATTTCCGAGATGGAGTCGACAAATATAACGACATTCTGTATGTCATCCATTCTTGATAATAGTTGCTGAGAAGTAGTTCTAATAGCCTCCACTTCACCATCGAAAGGAGTTGTGTTTGGTCCCAAACTCAAATAAAATGAAAATAGTTCAGAAAAAATACCAGCGCCCAAAAAAAATACTTTTCCTCCAATAATATTCGTTTTGTTTCCTCTAAAAATATTGATACTATTACATAAATACTTTTTCTCGAATAATATTTGTTTCGTTTCCTCTAATAATATAGATTCTAATAGATATACAAATACTTTCACTTGAGCTACAGGCTTTGTAAGGTAAGCGATATTTTGCATTAAAAAAAGTTGTAGTATTGCACATAGGGGAAAGAATCGCTCCTTTAATAATAGAAGCAAAGAACTTCTCACACAAATATGATACATACAAAGCTTTAGGCCGGGATAGTCTGGTTGGTAGGGCGCTGGGCCCATGTCCGAGAGTTCGTGGGTTCGAACCCCGTCGGCCGAAGACTCTCCGTGTAGTTGGTGACTGATGCACGTTAAAATTCTGTGGAGTTGCAAAGTCCTCCATGTTCCCATAAAAAATCAAAACCTCTGGGGGTGCTGGATTGGAGATCGATCGTACTCTGATTCAGATCAAAATTACGATTTGTGGATGAATGAATGGGTTCGCCTTATAAACAGGTGTGACGTATGATGTGGCAAAAGTCGAATTCTTGGCCATAGATGGCGCCACTGAAAAACAAGAATAGCACTCTGCCTTAAATTTGCTCGGTTTCACCAAGCAAGATTGCTCGTGTGGCAAATTGCATTAGAACTAACCAACCATACAAAGCTTTAATTTTGGACGTATGGCCATGTTTAATTTAGTCTATAACAATAATGCCGCACTTTCAAAATGGAAATGGCCCCTGAAAAGTTTTGATGCACTCTTTTTAAATGTTTTTCGTCAATTTTGAATGATATCTATTAAAGAAATGACTAAACTTGATATTTTGTGCCTGCTATTTTTATCAATATATATGACACTTGGGGTAATAAATGCCACCTTCTCGCTTCGCTCTCCGATTCCCCCTGTTACTTCCCAATCAATTTGTTTCCTTATGATAAACAAATTGCTACATTAAAAGTATTATGTATAATTCTATTTTTAAAAATATTTTCCTTATTTTATTAATAATATTATTATTTAAATCAAATTTTATGGATTAATTGATGATTATGGATTAATTAATGCTGAAGTCTTTACATTTATTTTATAATTAGTCCATCAATTATAACAATAAAAGGATGTTTCTTCTGGAAAATTGATACTCAAAGTTTTTTTTAACAAAAAGTTTTGTTCTGTTATTATATATGATACCTGAAAACTCTTCTCGGTACGCTTCCCCCCCTTTTTTATTTAAAGAGAAGTGGGGGGATATGAGGGAATGAATTGACAGGCAAATTCTCGACAGGCAAATGTACAAAGCTTTATTTTTTTATCTGTACCAAGCTCATTAAAATTATTTCAATCTTTCAATTCTTTCACCAAACTACCGGAATATTGAATATTATTCTGAAATGATACTTTTTTCTTTCAGTTAATGTTGATGACTGCAGCACAGAAAGTTCAAATACTCTGTTCAGAATCATTGAAGAATGTCTGAATGAATCATTAGCATCGACAACGCATGACATACAGATACATCGGCATTCTATCATTACAAAGTATGATAATTGTTAACATCCTGAATCTGACGCTCCGTGAAAAATCTGATCGAATTTTCGCAAACACGTTACTGAAATACTTTGACTGTAGTTTTATTACAAATGCATACATCCTACAACATTTAAGGCTACTTCAAAATTAGTCTCTCCAGCGGTAGCGTGCTAAAGCAATTTTTTTCAAAAATAAAACAATTTTTTCATAAAACTTTTATTAGTAATTGAGATGATCAACTTCATCTGACCTTTTATATATCTGTGTAAATCCTTTATATGTAGTGGTAAACAATATATTTTTTTAAATTATAATATTTTCCATAAGAATAAATATAAAAAAAAAATTCTAAAGCTACTGATAAAATTTATAAACCAAATATGAGATCAGTTACAAAAATGTTCTGAAAGAAATCGATTGCCAAACTAAAACAAAGCGCGTCGTGTTTCTTTTCTCATAATCGAAAGGTTACCCTAGCAAAAAATATAGACAAGGATAATTGCGTCTGAAATACAGTAACAACAAAATCACGCAGGGTGATGCGGGTGATTAAGAGGAGTGCATGGCAGACCGATTGACCACCCCATGTGATAGCATTTAAAGTGAATGTAAGGTCGAGCTGAGAAAGATAATTCCTGAACAGAACGTAGCAAAATGTACAATTTTTAATTGAAAAAAGTAATTTTGCTTACCTTAGTCAAAGTGTAGGATCGTACTCATTCGATTACATTTTACCATTTTATCAACGGCATGGGAGATTATTGCATTCGTTTTCCTGGTTCTTAGCTAACTTGAAATTGATGTCAAACACTTCACGCAAACTTTGGTGCCAATTATTCAGATTCGTTTATCCCAGCCAGTATACCATTAGTAAAAGCAAACATTTAACAATAAATGTCCACTTTACACTCACCTTCTGCTAGCAATAAATTTTACCAATGCGCATTGTCCTGTTCTGAGAGCATCCGTCGTAGAATAACTTTACATTAACTTTAAATGCGATCATGTGAGTAACTTTTTATATATATGAAAGTTGACATGGTCGATAACTACTATCCCCACACATATATTTCTAGCAGTAATCCTTAAAATAATAAAACAAAAATTTATGATAAAAAAACCTTACTGATAAATAGTCAATTTTTTTAAAATAAACAATATTAGTTATTTTTGAAAATTAATTATTGTTTGTTAATTAAGTGCATATGTAAAACAACCAAAATATTATTTATTTTTCTGTTATTTTTTTAAAAAAATGCCCTAAGATTTCTGTGACACTTGAACGAAAGTTCTTTTGTTATTTGCATTTACTTTCGTTGATTTTATACTTATAGGCTATAAATTTGTTGATTGACAGTGGCGTACGCAAGGGAGGGGTTTAGGGGTTTGAACACCCCCCTTGAGCTCAAACAAAATGGCAAAAATAAAAATTTTAGTAGAAATTATGCGGGTATTATTTTTTAAGACTATATATTTTTATTTGTCTAATGCCTACCTTTTTTTCTCACGGTATTTCTCAGAATACTGAAAAAAACATTTACTATAATAGGGTTGTACTTTTGAAACCAAATTCACGTGATACTGTTATGGACTGGTTCCCTTATGTTCTGAAAGTCGCGATAGTTTTCGAGACTGGCTGTCATTCGCGAGGTCCTTACGCGATGATTCTGGTATCTTAGACGTTCTGTCGTCTTTGAGACAATTCGAGAATTTTGGAGATGCGGTGAAAAATTATATAAAAGGGGGAACGGAGTACAATGTAAGTTTTTCTGTTGTACAGAAATGTGATACTTTCGTTGAAGAAAGCGTTTCTAGTATAACAAAACTTGATGAATGTGAAAGTGGCCCTCAAAGTGTTACTTCTCACCCATATGACATTGGAGTTTTTTCAGAAGATATTACATGCGAGAAGATATTACATTATGTTCTTAAACTTAAAAAATCAAATCAAAATTTAACTAAACAATGTTGTCTAAATAAAAAGTCAAAACTGTCTAAATTAGGGAAATAATAGTTCTTTATTACATACTCTAATTTCTTTTAGCAGCTTCAGAAAATTATGAACTCCCCCCTTGAAAAAATTCTGCGTACGCCACTGTTGATTGATATAAATTTTTCGAGCAAGAGCAATGTTTTGACTTTAACCTGCCTAAAAACAAGCAAAAATTTAAATAACTAGATAAAATTTCAAGTAAATTGATTAAAATCAAATCAACTAAGTTTAAACTAGTTTAAAGTCAACTTTGGCAGTAAAGAAACCAATCTTTCGTATCTGAACTTGTAACGTTAAATTCCAGCATTTTGGAGCATATCTCAGAATGCATCGAGGATCACACGCAGTATGCCTGCATAATGAATCACCAAGAAGCATTTCACCATGCGATGAAGTCTCTAGTATTCATAGTAAGAGATTATGCTTTGAAAATTTTGGAAATTCTAAGTAAGTATTTACATGTGAATCTTTTGTACTCATTTATATTAATCTTATTTACTCCTTTTGAAAAAAAAAATAATTTTACAATCATGCAGGGCACAGATCAGAAGTAAAGAAAAACTACAGTGCAAGCAGGCTTTGCTTCAGTATGCTTGACTACGACAAATTAGACTGTAAAAATCAGTTTTATGTTTACGCAATGTGCGTCAGGAATGGAACAAGGAACGAGGAAGTGTCTGGGTAAGAAATCTATGTCATAATCTTACACTGCGCGTAACGATTACCGCTACCACGCCGCTTTGTAAACACACTTGGTTAGTATAGTTTGTCTAAGCTAAGAACTCCTCCCGCCGCGAAGTCTGAGGCCACCTGGTGCTATGGAAACAAGAATGGCGCATTTTAGGGAGGGTAGCTTCACTCTAGGACTAACACAATAAACCGAACTAACACAATAAATTCCCTTTCTATTGTCGTCCCGAGCAGAAACTACTCCAAAATAGTGACCTCGCACCTTTACTTGAAATAGTCATACCTCGTTGCCATAGTCACCGTCACAGGTTCAGACGAATGTCTGGGGGAGTTCCTATTTTAGACTAACTATAGAATCCGCCGTTAATTGTCTATAAATCCCAGAATGGAAGAACTTTTCCAAGATATGGAATCGTTTATGTAATGGTGTAGGAAATTAAGAGAATTTGCAGACTTGGTCGATTATCTCTAGAACTACTGGACCGATTTTAATGAAGTTTGATATGTACCTACATTGATACAATACAAAACAAATAACCATTCAACAGCGTTGGATGGTTGATACGAATTTTATTCCCGACTCGTACCAACCACAGTGTTGCAAAATATCCTCAGCGGTAGGCGGATAATTGGCTAGAATCCCCTTTCCATCAGGCTAACCGTGGGAGGTTTCGTGTTTATCCTCCTCGTGTTCCGAAAATGTGAGTTAGCTTTCTCAAAAAGTCCACCACGAAGGTTAATTTTCCTTCTAGGGTTCCGTGGAACAACATTTGGGTACCTCTGCAATAGAGACGCCCAAGCCTAAAACCAATGTCACTAAAAAATACTATTTTTTTTTTATATATTAGAAACTAAATCATACTGTAATCATAGGAAAGTAAATTCATGTGTGAAGGAAGCGTTCAAAGCCTGTCCAGAAGATGCTCTTGACAGGCTGATAGAAATAATTATTGGGGCAGTGGATGGTCATGGAGGAAAAATAACGGACTGGGTGGATGAAATTGAATCGGCACGAAAGGCTGAAGCAGGAGCGGAAGATGATTATCCTCATTGTAAGTACAATTTCAGGTACTTTTAAATACAGAAAAGCGCTGATCAACTGGATTGTCCAAATTACCCGGATTGTTCAAGAACCATGCGTTGTTCCCCCTTCAAAATAAATAAATCCTCGAAAATATTTTTTTTATTCTTTAGTATATTAGAAAAGGATCTAAACATGGCTTATTTTGTCCCTCGGTGACCATGAAACAACACTCCGGGTTCTTAACTCGATTTTGCACACAATTATGAAAATTTTTAATCCAAAAATAATTGCAAAAAAATTAACACTAATTTATTTTTTTATCAATAACCATAATTATTTTGAGTTGTGAGGTAGACAAATTTTTACATCATTTTAGAAATATAATTTTTCAAAGTAAAATACAAAATTCGAACGATATCGGGTGATTAGTTTCTTAATCGAAATCGAATTTTAAATGTATGTTTTTTTATTAAAAAAATTTAATTTCTAAAATAATTTTATTTCTTTTTTTTATTAAAAAAAATAAAAAACAGTAAAGACCAAATATTGAAATATAATGAAAGGATTATCCCTGCGAGATATAAAAAAAATAAAACGTAATGAGTGTTTTTTTTAAGGCTATCTTTGATTAAAAAGTAAAATGTTCTGATTGTTCAACCTAAATTACAATATGAAGAATTTCATTAAAAAAAATTGTACTAATTTTCAAAAATCTAACATCAAATAACACACTAAATTGAAAAAAATGAATCTAAGGCTAGATGAAAATGGGACCTAATTCCACATGATCATTCTCTAAGGTCACTTTTTCTGGGTTTTTTTTCTCGTATTACCTTTTCAAGAATATTGAGCTTAAATAAAGTTTTACAATGAAAACTCATAACCATAAAGAAAATAATCTCAGAATATATAACTAAAAAAAGAAATAAAAACATATAAATAAATTTTTTTAAAGAAACAATATTTGATGATGTGACATAGGTATGTTGTCTCTGGATCATTCTCAGGGATGTTTCCCAGACTGTCTCCAACAGCCCACTGTGCAACTCTAGTACGGTGAAAATTAAAGTACTAGTACCATATTAAGTAAAGAATTTGAAATTCCGTAAAGTTTAAACATTGTGTGTAAGACACAAATAATGACAAATCCTTAACAAGAACAAATAATATTTTTATTGTAATATTTTTATAGAAATATTTTTATGCATAAACTATTTCAATTCAAAATGCATAACATTTCAAATAACAGACAAACAATCCATAACAAAATTTTAATGCACAATAAATAAACTATATAAAATGAATAAGCAAATTATAGTATATAGAGTATACCATAGAGTCTGTCTTTAATATATTTTTAGAATCTTTGAAAAGAATGAAGTGAAAAAGCATACAATTACAGGTTGCAAATTATAAGATTTTAGTTAAGAAAAAAAATAAAAATGGTGTTGAAACCTTAGTAGTAGTCAGAAAAACAGAATGAGAAACATTAAAAAAAAAGAAAATTAAAAAAAATTTTGATGAAATTTGGAAATAGTATTTCTAGAAATCACCAATCAACTCATTTTCATATCTTCTGGCAATCAAACAGGTTTCAATGATTTTAGTTCTAACTACCTAAGAAGTGATTTATTGGATTTTAAGGATATTTTTGAATTTTCATCCTTTTAATAGTAATTTGAAGTCTCTTATTTGCATAATATATAGACATTTTCTTTCGTTACCGACATGGATAGTAAAAAAATCCAGTACGAAATAATATAAATTTCATGATAATTATTGCATAATGTACTAAATATTTTACACATAGGGAATATTTTTAGTCATCAAAATATAAAAACTGCAATATTTTCCAGTTATGATTAACATTAAGCATACTTAAAATATTCCATATTTTGTTTACTCATAATTTCAAACATTAATAGGCATTTAATTCATCAAAGTATAATTCATCAATTAATTAAAAGATTTTTTTTAATTAATTTAAAAAGAGAGTTCTGAATAAAAATAAAGTTTTGAACTGATTTCTATAAATGAAGTTCACTTCATTTTGTGTTAGTAATAGTTATTTGAATATTCAAGTAATAATCTATACAAAAATTTTATTTTATAGGGATTTTTTTAGAAAACTTACTCAATTTTAGGGAATTTTCTACAAAGTGCAAAAAACAGGAGAATTTTAATTAAACCAGTAGACCAAGATAAACTGGCAAAATCCAGTAATTCAGTAGAGTTGGCAGCTATGCAAGGATTTTAAAAATATAAAAGGTGGTGAATACGGAACAGCTTCCAAGCTAAAATCCACTAGCATTTATGAGACCAATAAATTAAAATTATTTTCACATCCTATATGTATTTTCCAAAATATTGATTGCCTACGGTGTACCATGCTCTACCATCAAATGTGGTCCATGTGTTGTACCAGCTGCAAGGAAAAGGTTAAAAAAAAGAGATAATTTTTTTTCACAGAAATTCATAATTAATTTTGATAAAAATAATCATTTCAAAAACGAATCCAATATATTTAAGAAAAATAAAACAATTTTAAAGAAAATCGAGATTTCATGAACCATCCAAGATGGTTCTGTAACACAAATATTATTTTTAATCACTTTCAGAATTAAATTCAGGTATATTTAGCTCTTCTTTTAAGTCTAACAAATCTTGATCCCATCTCTTTTCATAGTAAATATTCATTAAAAACTTTGCTTTATGTCCACATTCTATAGCCCAAGGTAGATAAGATTTCACATATTTTTGTCTCTGCTTCGGTTTAAATCGTACAGGCCCAATAACCGCAGCACTAATACACATAGGAAAACCAGTTTGCATTGCCTCAACCCATTTTATAGCTACCTCACCGAGCATGTTCGTAGGCATACCAAGAATAGCATGATTCAAATCATGTACTTCTCTATATCTTTGTATAACATAAGATATACTATCATCATCAACAAAAGTCACTTCTCGTCTAGAATCAGGAGTAACATGATGATTTTCTAGAAAAGCTAAATATGTTCGTCCTAAAGTATTCGGAGAAAGTGAGCGTAAATAATCGTAATCTAAAGTCGCTGAATTTATTCTAGGCCTTTCATCTAATATTGACTTCCCTTCAGGATCGTTCAACATTTTTTCCCGTATTTTTTTCGCAGCTGAAACGCCGGTAGTCTCCCCCAACACAGCAATCATATCATGGCGATAAACATCAGATATGGACATGATGGAAGAACCGAAAACAAGCAAACATTTTTGAATAAAAGATGTTGGAATATGAGTATCATACAGTTGCTGCCCTCTCTCATAAAGCACTTGGTTAATTTCTTTTTCAGCAGAAAACTTGTTTGATTGAGTACTAAATTTGGCAATCTGCACTAAATGAGCAGATCGACCAAAACCAAACCGCATCATGGCAAATTTATAATTTAAGATTGTTATTTGTAAAGTTTTGAAGAAACAAATTTAATTTTAAACGATTATAGATATCATATTCAGTCGAACTCATACGCAACTTGCCCTACAAAACGACGAATAAACAAAAAGATAATAAATCAAGAAAAACTAGCGAAACAATATTAAATCAACCGTAGAGAATTTATGACATTGAATAAACTTGTCGAGCTTTATAAGAAGCGGTTTCACATCATAAATAATTCTACTTTACGAAATAAATACGCTCAGTTCGGTTGATAAAGTTGAAGCAGTTTAGTATTTCGATCTTTACATGAATGTTGCTACTTCTTCTTTTTTAGCAGTCTAGTACGTCACTAAAACTTTACAGGAGCGAAGTCAATGTTTCGCAAGTCTTAAGACGAATTTATGAAGAAAGTTGATTTGAAGATCAAATATAGCACTTTTTACTCAAGTTTAATGATTTTTTTCAAATGAATTTATCAATTTTTTAAAGAATAGCAAACTTTATTATTTATATAAGAAGATAATGACTAACCAGTAACCGCGACATCAGCCCGCCGCGAAAATTGTTTGTATTGGTTTCAGTTTGATGTTTACATCAAGAAGGATTCTATTAAAATACGTTTTCGACTTTTATTTCCAACTAATTTCAAAGCTGTTGAGAAAGGGATTTTCCTCACTCCCTTTTTTTCAGTTAGAGCCTCGTGTTTAAAATTTACCCTGCAAAAGAAACTAAAAGCCATTGTTTTTTTTTCTTCTGATTTTTACTTACTTTTTAGGGTTATGTTAGGGAAATATTTCCATAAAAAGCAACACAGAAGAGGTCAAACTGGAAGGATATATCTCGTATAAACTCTCTATTTTAAGAATTCCTCTCGCCTCAAAATTTAAGGCCGTGCTGCTATGGTAACATGGCATAGCGCATTTCAAAGAGGGACCTTCACAATTTTGGCAAAGACTATTATACTACTTATTTTGGGGGGCAAGTTCGCAGTAAGCGGAAAAAATATAATCTTTCAGTCCTCAAGCCGAGCAAAAAACTGCCTTAAATATTGACCCAACACTCCTACCTGAAACAGTTGAATATCGTAACCATATTTGCCGCCACAGCTGTGGATATATGGCAGGAAGAGTGCTCTGTATGCACAGACTAAGCGAAAGTACTAGAACAAATTATTTTTTGATACCTTTGTAGTTTTATTTGGCGTAAGCAGATACTCAAATATCCTAAGTCATAATTTGTTCTCATCAACATATTTTTTTTATAAACATATTTTTAAGTAGTTAAATAAGTGTATGTGGGGATATTTCCGTATCATCGGTACTTTTTCACATCAACTAGAATCACCAAGGTGCCAAAGGATTTATCTTCTTTGAAAAAATATGCAATCTTTCTCAGTAAGAATGTTACAAATATTTGGCCGTTAATCCGTATTCGGTCTTTTTCTCAACTATATTCGTTTGGTCGTATGTTTGGCCTAGTATTTCGCAAAAAGTTTATTGAAAAAGCATTTTTCAACAAGTTATTTATATGGTGAATTAGAATAGATTTAATGAAGAATAATCTAAAAATCACATTTTTCACTATACGTATGCATTATTTGAAATAGCTTTTACACATACGAGGCAAATCCAGGAAGTAAGTTTCTCTAATTTATATATTAAAAAAAAGGAACTCGCACTTTCAGGAGCATATTTATTGGCAACAAGTCCAGAAATGTTTCAGCTATTTTTCAACATAGCCACTACCAGAATTGCGAAACTTGTCTTATCGTGGGATCAACTTTTGTATCCCTCTGTTGTAGAACTCTGCCGTCTGTGAATGGAACCAGCGTGTGACAAATGTCTTCAGCTTTTGGTCATTGCCAAAATGCTCAGCGGAGGACAGGAATTTCTTGAGGTGCAAGAAAACATGAAAATTGTTGGGAGCAATATCAGGGCTGTAGAGTGGATGATCAAACAACTCCTAGTCAAATTCCGTCAAAACAGCTACTGTGTGTCGTGCCGTATGTGGACAAGCATTGTCGTGGAAAAGCGCAACACCTGCAATAAGCATTTCATGACTCTTGTTTTGAATGGCACGTCACAATTTCTGCAGTGTTTCACAGTAACGGTAGACGTCTGTCACACGCTGGTTCCATTCACAGATGGCAGAGTTCTATGACAGAGGGATACAAAAGTTGATCCCACGATAAGACAAACGTCTCAATTCTGGTGGTGGCAAAGTTGAAAAATAGCCGAAACATTGCTGTACTTGTTGCCAATAAATATGTTCCTGAAAGTGTGAGTTCTTTTTTTAAAAAAAATCAGGAAACTTACTTTCTGGATGTGCCTCGTATTTGTTAAGTTCTAAAACTTGTTAATAAATGTTATGTAATGTTGTTAATAAATGTTATGAAATAGAAAAACGAAATTTGAAGAATTGAAACGAGATTGCAACTTTGTTTTTTTTCAATAACTATTCGTCTATTTTTTTCATCTTAAATGTTACTAATTGTCTTAATATCTAATTATTTTTTATCTTATAGTTTTTTATAGTTTTTTTTTATATTATATATTTTATATACATGACAGTTTTTTTTTGCTTTACCCCATGCCATTTATATAGTTTTGATTATCTTTCAATAATGACTGAACCTCATATGTTAAAAGAAACATTTATTTCTGATTTTTTTTAAAAAAACAAATTGCTATTCGAGCACTGAATATTTGGTATTCTGCCAATTGTTTTGGGCGAATACTAAATTGCAGTGCCCCCCCCCAAGCTCTTGGGAAAAATTCTAAATTCCCCCCCCCAAACTATTCGTTTTATTTAGTATAAAAATTCCCCCCCCCCAAGCTTTAAGTGGGCGCATCGGGAGCCCACCTCCCCCTAGTGGGGGCCCCTGTATCCAGTAACGNAAATCCCCCCCCCCCAAACTTTAAGTGGGCTCATCGTGCGTCCACCTTCCCCCCTGATGGGGGCCCCTGCTAAACTGACTAATTTAGCTATTTGTCTGTTTTTTTTTTTAATCTTAAATGTTACTAATTATCTTAATATCTAATTATTTCATCTTATGTTCTATTATAGTTTGTTTTTTTTGCTTTGCCCCATGCCATTTATACAGCTAAGTTTTGATTATTTTTTAATAATAACTAAACTTATTCTTGCATAAAAAAAGAACATTTATTGCTGATTTCTTTTTTTAAAAAGAAAATCAAACAAGTTACTATTCGGTCAATTGTTTTGGCCGAATATTCGGTTTTTAGGCCACAACACTATTCGTTACATTTTTTAGTTCTCAAGGGGTTACTAAAAGTTATGCTTATCAAATTTGTCTCCTTCTGTGTTGCTTTATTTATTATTATTTTTTTTTTAATTTACCACATTCCACTGCTCACTTGTCACCTTAACTTCGAATTTTTTTGGTGTAGAATCAATATGGAAATCTTCAAACCTTTCATAACTTCTACAATGCATTAATTGTTAGTATTACCTAAGATTATTAAAAATATTTCATTTGAATTTAGTTGTTAACGAAAAATAATGGCCTTTAACCCTTGCAGCATTATCATTAGCCCTATCTGCAATAACCAATAATAATTTCCTTTATATTTTTTAAAACCCTTGACAAAAAATTTAGTAAAAATATACATAATAGCGATTGGAAATTATTATTTTAACAGAGTAAAAAGAGAAATACTGTCAAAAGTTTCTAAATCACTAATAATTATGGCAGATGTATTGAATATTAAAACCTGTTTGACTTTCTGTGAAAATAAAGTTAATGCATATAACTATGACATTAAGAAGTCAAACTCTTATTTCCAATAAGATTTGAGACTTGGAAGGTTTTTGATTTTTGGTACAAAAAAAGGTTAAAGTTTTTTATTTTCTCCTTTTTTTCAGTTTTACAAAATTTAAAAAAAAAAAAAAAGCAGTAAATATAATATGATTTTTCTTTTCTACAAAAATAACTTAAACATGTTAATTACATTATATTTGGAAAAAGAATTTGGGGTTGTCCATAATTATAAATAAGTGAATATAAGTTCAATGATTTTTAGTTAAATATTAATACAACAATATTTTATTAGTACGGACTAAAATATATTATATCTGAGTATTAGAAAATTAGTTTTTCGGTGCTATATCTTAAATTTAAATTTATTCTTAATAATGATTTTTTTACTGTATAGATCCTTCGCACGATTCATGCGATGAGAGTAAAATAGGCACATGGATAAAAGAACTGAAAAAATGCTGTCATGCTACAATAAAGAAAAAACGAAAACTTAAGAGGTATTTAATTAACTGGTATTCAAATAACTTTTTATAACTGCTAATTTTGCTATTGTACAAAAAAATAGCTGATTTTATTGTATATTCCATAGGATTCTAACTATTCAAACTTCGAAATGAATGATTAGAGGCTTTTATAACTTCCAAATATCTTAAACACTGTGAGAAAAATGTTTCGAATAAATAATTGCAGAAATTCAACTCAAGTTGCTGTATCTCTGAATAGTGAATTAGATTATATCTATCAGGGGTGATTCTATTCCAGGTGTAGGAATTCGGTTCCAGAATTCTAGGTTTTTCATGTCATCCTTCCGGTAAAACCTGAAACGGTGTTCTTTTATCGTGAATTTGGCTGAAATCTGTGTACCTTAAGACCATTAGTTCTTGAACTTACTCAAATAGAAAACTTAAAATTTGATAAAATTTCTTCTGTGTTCCACAGTCTTAAATTTCAATTTTGAAGCTTTCATTAACTCTCGTTAATGAAAACTTCAAAATTCTTCCCATTATCTCATGTTAACATACATGTGATTCTTCTGCCAATTTAATTTGTGTTTATTATTAGATTTTCTTCATTTTGAATGTTTGAAACTGTGGCAGATTCTGCCAATATAGAGATTCATATTTACCCAATTTTAATATCAAACAGCGCTTTTCGTATTTACCCTGAATTAAAAGATGCACATACCAATTCGTATTCATGCAAGCTAAAAATTATACATTGTAATTCTTATTCATGTGTAAAATCGAACATTGCGATTTGTATCCATACATTTTTTAAATCAATAATATGGTAAATTGTATTCATATTCATGTTTTAAAATCCAATGTCCCTAATCTTAAAAGAACTAACTTACTATTAAGTATTCACGTATAATATCCTCAGACAGTGTTAGCGGAAAATTTGTCATATTTGTTGAAAAATTTTTATTATTAAATTAACTAGACATTAACTAAATTATAATGAACTAGACATTAACTAAAGGATTCACTTTCTGAGTACAAGTAATTTTTTTTAAGCGAACTATTAAAATAGTGACGATTCACATTTGGAACAGTAGTAATTTTATTTAAGCAAAATTTTAAAATAGTGAAGTATCATATTCTGAGTACAAGCAATTTTATTCGATGTTTGAGTTCTATAAATGTGATAAAAGAATACTAGAAGTAAAAAGAAAAGAAATTTTTAAAAAGTAAGAAAAGACAATACTTAAAATTCGAATAAAGTATTGCTAAAATTTCATAACTCATTCATTATTGCTGATGCTTTATTTATTTTAATTAGTAGTTTTAATTTAGATTCTTGTAATATTTTTTAGAGTGATGCAGAATGTGGACAAATGCTTAAAGCGTACTGCACCAAAGGGTTGTAATTTGGACAATTATTCACAGTTTAACGAATTATTCCACCATGTCATTGCAATTATTAAGGACTATATGAAGAGAAAGAAAGGAAAAGGTAACTGATAATTATTAACTGTACTGATAATTATTTTTAAAATATGAGCTGCCACCTTTCATATTTTTTAAATTTTTACTGTTTGATTATTTTAATTTTTAACATTTTGTTAAAAAACAAAGCTATTGTGATAGTCTAAAAATGTTTTTTTTTGTGTGTACTTTAAAATAAGTACAATTTTGTGTCTATTTTCATAACTCGAAATTTTGTTTTTTAATATGCATATTTTTCTTCGAGACATAGCGAAATGCCTGAAAAGTGAAATTAACATAAACTCCTTCCTTCTCGCTCCTGTCAAATTGACATGGTTAAATTTTGCTTTCTACATTTCATGCCTGTGACATTTCCAGGCTGGAGTGTTCTAAAGTAACATACCAAGTGGATTAAAACAAACTATTTCTTATGCCTGGAATCATGTATATCTCTTTATCTATACACCAGGTGGCAGTACCAGACTCTTTGCAATGTGTTTAGCTATATTTTATTTTAAACTAGATGTCAGCACTCTTTTTTTTTAATTTCAAGCTAACAATTAACAATGGGTAAATATGGTGTACATACACTTAGTTATATATTATTTTCTTGAATAAAACAAGTGGGCACTTTTATAACCATTTTTTTATTCAAAATTATGCGACCATTTAGGGATTTAAGGGTTCTAGCTTGCAACTGCTATCTTTACTAAACTATTTGGACTATACATTTTGAGTGTCAGGAATCGTATCAATAATAAAAACAGGATGCGTAGCGTTTTTAAGAAGTACTTAAAGGTGCTTATTTTCAATATTCGTTTTTTAAAAGCCCTTAAAGGCACTTTTTTCATGGGATGTTCTTAAAAAGTGTTTAATTTTTCCTTTTCGAAAATGCGATCTTTTTCTTTACCATGTCGATTTTCGGCGTAAAATCGGTCCATAGCGCTTGAAAGCACCAATCATATTACATGTTTGATGAAATACTTGCAAGTCGGCATGTGCGTCTGCGTAGCTGGGTTAGGTGAGATTATTGCACTCTCATATGCAACGCTGTTGCATTTTGCAAGATATTCTCAATTCCAGACTTCATTTTCCTCCCTCTGATATTGAACTAAAAAATCTGTTGATCATTTTATAATGGCTAATACAATCAAGAAAAGAGTTCTTAGTCAGAAACTAGTTATTTTATCATGATCATGTAAAGTCTTTAAAAATTAGTTTGCATTTTGTTAATGTATATAGTGCTTAAAAATAATTTTTGAGCGCTTAAAAAGTACTCAAAATGTGCTTATTTTTATTGGAAGATTTGGCTACGCACTCTGAATAATAATAAAAAAAATGTTCTTTTTTCAGTGAAAGGGCCTTTTTGTGTCTTTTTCTTATAACTTAATACTTTGTCTAATAAGCTTCAAATTTTAGATCAATCCTTCAGTCTATTGCATCCAAGTATTTGAAAATACGATCACTGGATCAAAAGTTAATCTGGTTTTCTGTTTTTAATTTTACATACTGTTTATACTATTAATTTATGCTACACTAAAATAATTGATAATAAGATAACTTAAATAATTGTAATTGTTAATTGCAATAATGGAAGCCCTAAAAGTCAAAAATACATTGTAAAGTATCTGTGTTTTTGTATATTTAGATGAGTGTAGTGATTCTATTGATTCTGATAGCATGAAGGATTGCTCATCGAAATTTTTCTTGTATGCTGTAAATATTCAGCAACATATCAACAACAGAAAAGATAAAATGTAAGTATGTAGATATATATTTCTGAACAAAGTTTAAAGAAAAACTTCTTTAAAGCCAATTTTACAATTAAAATCTCAGAAATTATTATTTAAATTTTTTTTTTTTAAATCATAGAGTTTAATAACTTATTTATTTTTTATAATGTAGGCTAGTTCTTAAATTATAATTGTAGGGGTTTTATTATAATTTTATTCAAATATATATTAATAATAATCTATAATACTGTTGAAATTTATATATAATAACCACTATAATGACCTCTGCTGTCTGAATTTAAAGGGTAGTGATAATATTAGGTTATCATATCCTCAATGCACAAAAATGCTGTAAGTATTTACTCATAAAAGTACCAGACTAATTTTAACAAAACAATTGCTACAGGCTTCATGTGCTCACCCTTTACAGTTAAATCACTGTACATGTTTATCTGTGATTTTCATTGGTAACTTGCTCTTTTTTACAGTAATGTCTAACTAACAAGGTCCTGGTTTTATCCAACAATGCCACTTAACAAAAAGGAAGCAGCTTGTTTTAACTGTGAAGCAAAACTTAGTTCAATAATTAAAGTTAATAGCTTAAAAAAAAAAAAAAAAGATCTTAAAGTTACCCAAAATCGCAGGAGTAAGACTTTTAATTTTTCATATAAAAGTTTTTTTAAAAAAAATTGGCATTGACTACCAAAATGCCTTCACCTTCTTTCATTCATCTCTAAATCATGTCTATTGACTGTATTTAGTTTTATGTAATTTCTGAAAAATTATAGCAGCATACCTGCAAAGACTCCTGTTTTTTAATGAAGACTCCTGTATTTTATGACTATCTCTTGTTTACCCGTACATTCTCAAATTTCTCCGTATTTGTTAACAAAAAATTTTGAAATAATTTAGGCGATAAAATATCCGCTGATGACGAAAAATACTTCTCTTATTCCTCAACAGCCAGTGCTGCAGCATGTTGAGTGTTAATAGTTTAGGGAAAAATATCTTCATTGGTATCATGGGTTAGATTCCCCTTGCTGTCAGGCTAACCATGGGAGTTTTCAGTTTTTTTCGTCTCCATGTGATGCAAATGCGAGTTAGTTCCATCAAAATGTCCTTGACGAAGGCAAATTTCTGCAGATACTTGTTTCTTCGACTTTTGGATTGTGTTCAAAATTACAAGGCTATGAAGTTGAACATTAGTAGTCGTAAACCCAAAAAATTGGTCTGGCTGTTCAACGATGGTTATAAAATAAAATCGTTGGAGTAATTTTAAATCATGGTTTAAAAAAATTTTCTTTAGATTAAGATTTACATACATATTTTTTACCTCGCTAAATGTGAGTGCTTACATTATTTCCAATTTTGAATTTTTATTTTTGACTTCATGATTATGCATGATGTAAAACATTACTAGTAACCTAAAAAATGTTGCTAGTAAAATCTCCATTATTTTATTTATCCATTGTTGGCAGGTATGTAGCAGTAATTTAGTCTTAAGTGCAGTGTTTGAGGTTTGCCTGTTTTTTTTCCAACTTTCCTCTTAATAAATAATTATGTGTGGCATAAAATCAATGTTTTTAAAACGTTTAATTCATTGAGCAGTAATTTTTGGTTCTGATTTCTTCCCTAATTTTGATTTATAGTCTAATTTTTTGTACTGATTTTGTTTAAAATGTGCACATTTAGGCAGATTTTAAAAATAATCCTCTTTTAAACAGTTATTTTTTGATGAAATAATAAAATCTATATAATTGTTAAATTTGAACTGAATTTCTACATATTAAATTTACATTCTTTTCTATTTCTGTGTGTATTAGTTTTTATCAGGTTGCAAAGAATCATAATTTAAAAAATATATATAAATTAGATTCATTTAAGTTAAATCATAATTTTTTTACATTTATCTGGCAAATCATTTTATCAAATTTATTAATAATAACTTTATTTAAAAACAATAATATGGCTAAAAATAGCTAATTTTTGTAACTAAAATTATTATTTAATTTTGTTCAGGCTCAACATCCTAAAATTTTAAAGATAGGAAGGCAGTTTGTCATTTAAATATCCAATTTAATAAATATAATGCCCAAATATAGTATTTAAAAATAATGATATATCTAAAAACTAATATTTCTAACTAAAATAATTATTTAATTTTGTTCAAGTTCAACATCCTAAAATTTTATCGATAACAAGGCAATTAGTGAGTTAAATATGCAATTTAATAAATATAATATTTTAAAATAATAATATAGCTAAATTAGCTAACATTTCTAAGAAATTATTAATTAATTTTGCTCAACATCCTAAAATTTTAAAGATAGGAAGGCAATTTGTCAGTTAAATATCCAATTTAATAAATATAATGTTAAAATATAATATTTAAAAATAATGATATATCTAAAATAGATAATATTTCAAACTGAAATAATTATTTAGTTTTCTTTAAGCTCAACATCCTAAAATTTTATAGACAGGAAAGGCAATTAGTGAGTTAAATATCCAATTTAATAAATATAATGTCAAAATATAATGTGTTAAAATAGTAATATAGTTAAATTAGCTTATATTTCTAACTAAAATTATTATTTAATTTTGCTCAACATCCTAAAATTTTAAAGATAGGAAGGCAATTTGTCAGTTAAATATCCAATTAAGAGTAAATTAGTTTAGATCAAAATACATAAAGGAAAAAAAATTCTCTTTGTAGAACATGTTTTTTTTTTCATTACTGATATGCACTAATGAAATACTAAGTTTTAAAAACACTTTTATTTAAATAAGCATTAAACTAAATGGGTATAATTGAAATATGTTTATTATTGGAAAATAACAGCAAATGGAAAATTCTAATTTAAAAGTTTAACACCACTCTTTTTACATTTAGTCTCACTATTTCTTTAGATTAAATGTCCTTATAAATCAAATGAAATTTTAAATAAAATTAAAATCAAAAGAACATATTTACAAATATTGTATAAATGTATTTCTATTTGATGATTTATTTTTAAAAAATCAATTAGTTTAAATCTTATTTAAAAAAATCATAGTTGATTTAAATCATTGTTTTTTTTTCCATAATTCCAATGATTTAAATCTTGTAATTTAATCATGCCAATCCTGGATTATATGCTAATGTTCATGCAGTATTTATATCTGTGAATGCTTCATTCTTTTTTAAAATATATTTATTCTGTTTTAGATTGTATAAAAAAGTCAAAGTTTGCTTCCACTCTGCATTGAAAGCGTGTGAATTATGGGTTGTCGATGCTTTTATTACAATTGATGCTTCTATTATAATGGTTCCAATTCCGAATGATGATAAACCAGATGTAATTATTACTACAACTTATCCAGATCAATCAGTTGTTACTTGTTTTGCTACGAATAGTAAGTTTGAAAATATTTAATTCTTTTAAATTTTTGTATTTTTTATTTATTTATACTCAATTAAGGATGACTTTTCCTTTGAGTGTTTGTGTAAATTCTTGTAATTCTGATTAGTTTTTGTAATTAAGGAATGGTATTCTTTAATTGAATGATACATGATGTTAAAATGTTAAGTTTATAATGTCATATCATCACTTGTAGTTTGTCTGAGCTATGAACTCCTTCCGCCACAAATTCTGAGGCCACCTGGTGCTATGAAAACATGAATGGTGCATTTTAGGAAGGGAAACTTCACTCTAGGACTAGCACAATAGACCGAAGAAAGAGATTCCCTTTCTCTCCTTGACCCGAGCTGAAACCACTCCAAAACAGTGACCCCGCACCCCTACTTGAAATACTCATATCTCGTTACCATAGTCACCGCCACAGGTCCAGACAAATGTCTGGGAGAGTTCTTATTTTAGACAAACTATAGTATATTATGTTTGTATTCAATAAGAAATTAGTCTTTCAAACGGAGTTAAAACAGTGTGTCATTGACTGACTGTGTGTCGACAATGTGTCATTGATTGACAAAATATGTATGAGATTTAGTCACTGGCCTGAAGGACCAGTGACAGTAAGATTTTCTAGTCCCTGCATATTTTCACTGTTCTAATTAGATTTTTTTTTTTTTTTAAAATAAAGTGATTTAAATGAAAAACTGTAGTGAAAGTGACCAGTGAAGTGAAAGAAGGCGAAAAAGTGATTTAAATGAAAGATGTCGCAAATCTGATTAAACATGTTATTTTGTAAAAAAAAATGTGGACCAAAACTTTATCTTTATTCAAAAAATAAATAAATAAAAATATCTAATAAGGATATCTTTTTACATTGATTGCTGGTCTGTGGGACCAATAATAATAATTTAATGGGTGTCCTAGTTTATCTGACCAGTATATATTTATCTACTTATCTGACCAGTATTGCTAGTAATATAATTATTTTTTTTTTCATTGTAGAACTATGGAATAACCCTTTTAAAGAATTTTTTTATTTAATAAAAAGATTGAAAACTGATGTTTTAAATCTTTGTTTAATACCCAAATTTGAGGAAATCCAAAATCCAAATTTGAAGTTTTTTTTTTATAAAACTTTAAAAAATTATCACTTTTTTAACACTCATCTATGTTACCTTTAAGAATTATGATACATTTCTTCTGTTATTATAAATTGCACAACACAACAAATTTATCTGTCCTTTAAATGATGCAATATAATTCAGTATGAACACGAGATACTTGTTTCATATATCGAAACCAAGAGGTCCATTAGATATTGTTTCCATATTCGAAAAGCAGCCAAGCTACTAGCTAATTTTTGGATATCTCATTTTGTAATGCATCTAAAGGCACAAAACTTTGCGATGGCAGATAAGACATTTGACACTAAAATGGTCGAAAAGTTGGTGACAGTCTCACTGCTAATGAAGTACCATTATAAAACATAAATTCACAAAGCTAAAATGTGGATTTTTTGGAAAATGCTGCATGTTGAATAAAAAATAATTTCAGATTCATTTTATTTTCAGTCAAAAATATACAAAAATACATAATTTTATCTAAATGGCATTTTTCATACTGTGTTATTTTACCATAATGCAGACAAAGCAACAGTTTCAGAGTACCATTTTGTAATTTTGGTCTTTTCTATTCTTTTAGCTGTCCCTATTATTACCACAACTAGAAAGCAACGTAAAACTTTGTCCAGTAAGTTAAATATTTTTTCTTCTTAAAGTTTTTACAATCTGCATTACAAGTAATATAAAGGTTATTTTTCATTATGAAACACAGAATTAAAATATGAAATTCTTTTTTTATTTTTGAAATCCATAGTCAACAAATTAAAAAATTTTAAACCTATTCAAGTTGGTAATTGTACTACCCTATACTTGTCATTTGTGTTTTACCTGCTTTTTTATTTAGATAGTGTGATACATTTTGAATTGAAATTTATTTCCTAAAAATAGCTGTTTCAGAGTGCAATTTAATTGAATTTTGGTCTAAAAGTATCATAATCATACTAGTATACTCTGCTTCCTTGGAAAATGGACTTGATGAAAAAGTGTCATATGCTAATTTTTCTCATGGCACAATGTAAGCCTTAACTCTGAATTAATTCTTTGCAAAAAAATTATCAAGTTTAACCCCTAACATCCCCATCAACATTTAGACTTGCCGGCCAAGGGGTTAGCGTGCATGGCTGCGAGTTCGAATCTCGCTTTGGGCATGGATGTTTCTCTCCGTGTGTTGTCCATGGTGCATAGCGTTTTTAAAAAGTGCTTACTTCCGATTTTCGTTTTTTAAAAGCCCTTGAAAGTGCTTTTTTCATTGGATGATTTTAAAAAGTGCTTAATTTTTCTTTTCCATAAATAATTTTTTTTTTAGCCATGTCGATCTTCGCCACGCATTATGCAAAAGTGTGCCTCATTGTTCTATTCCACCTTTTCAGAATTCATTTAACCACAATCTATTTCGGCGTACCATCGATCCATAGCGTAGGAAAGTGCCGATCATTTTACATGTTTGATAAAATACTTGGGAGTACGCATATGCGTCTACTGAGCTGGGTTCGGTGAATTGCACTCTCATGTGAGACTCTGCTTTATTTGCAAGATATTCTCAATTCCAGGCCTAATTTTCCAGCTTCTGATATCAATTCGAAAAATCTCTCCTGCATTTTAAATGGCTAATTTAATCAAGAAAAGAGTTCTTTGGCAGAAACTTGTTATTTTATCATGATCATGTGAAGTCTTTGAAAACTATTTTGCATTTTGTTAATGTATATAGGGCTGAAAAATATTTTTTGAGTGCTTAAATAGTACTTAAAAGGTGCTTATTTTTTGTTGAAAGATTTGGCTACGCATCCTGCTGTCCTCTGTTGTGTGTGAATGTGGCCCTCCCTCTGAACGGGTATCCCTGGCAGTGTGACGTAGGTAATGTTGATCGCCTCAGTGACTTAGGTTCACAGGTGCCCTCTGGGTAACGGTAAATGAGCAACACTTCCATCATCTTCCAAGGTGAAGAACGAAAGTTCAGTACCTGCCGTTAGGAAGAAAAAAACTGTTTAAATTCACAACAAATTTGTTTTAATTTACAGTAATTAATAGATTCACAAGTAATTAGAAGTGAATTTAGCAATTTGCTACAGTAAATTGTTAAAAAAAATTACTTAATTATTTATTCTGTTATAAAGCAAATTTTTGCTTTAAACTGTGTCTGTCTCAATGTTTCTTTATTTTGAACACTATTATAACTTATCTGAATGTGACCAAAACATCTCTTTTTTCCAAACAAATCCAATCCATTTTAGCCTTCAATTTTTATCATGATAAACTAGCAATTGGCAATTTACTCTTGGACAACATTTCCTTAAAAATATTTATACTAGTTTAAAAGTGTTTAAATAAAGCAGTTGTTACTTGTCTTACTACAAGTAGTAAGTTTAAAAATATTTAATTCTTTTAAAATTTTTTTTATTTATACTCAATCAAGGATGATTCTTACTTTTCCTTTGGGTGTTTGTGTAAATTTTTGTAATTCTGATAATTTTTTGTAATTAAAGAATGGGCTCAAAGAAACAGTTTCAAGATGTGTTTTCGTCCTTAATTGAATGATACATGATGTTAAGTTTATAATTTCATATAATCACTTATAGTTTGTCTAAGCTAAGAACTCCTCCCGCCACAAAGTGTGAGGCCGTCTGGTACTATGGAAAAAAGAATGGTGCATTTTAGGAAGGGTAGCTTCTGTCTAGGACTAGCACAATAGACCGAAGAAAGAGATTCATTTTCTCTCGCCGATCCGAGCTGAAGCCACTCCAAAACAGTGACCCCGCACTCCTACTTGAAATAGTCATATCTCTTTACCATAGTCGCCGCCACATATCCAGACGAATGTCTGGGGGACTTCTTACTTGAGACAAGCTATAGTATACTATGTTTGTATTCAATAAAAAATTAGTGTTTCAAACGGAGTAAAAAGAGTGCGTCATTGACTGACAGTGTGTCAACAATGTGTCATTGATTGACAAAATATGTATGAGATTTAGTCACTGGCCTGAAGGAGCAGTGACTATAAGATTTTCTAGTCCATACACATTTTCACTGATCTATTTAGATTTTTTTAAAATTAAATAATAAAGTGATTTAAATGAAAAATTTCAGTGAAAGTAACCAGTGAAGTGAAAGGAAGCGAAAAAGTGATTTAAATAAAAGATGTCACAATTCTGATTAAACATGTTATTTTGTAGAAAAAACATGGACCAAAACTTCATCTTTAATCAAAAACTATAAATAAATAAAAATATTTAATAAGGATATCTTTTTACATTGATTGCTTGTCTGTGGAACCAATAATAATAATTTTTTGGGGGTCCTAATTTATCTGACCAGTATATATTTATCTACTTATCTGACCAGTATTGCTGGTAATATAAAAAATTTTTTTTCATTGTAAAACTGTGGAATTTTATTTTATAAAAAGAGTAAAAACTGATGTTTTAAATCTTTGTTTAATACCCAAATTTAAGGAAATCCAAATTTGAAAAAAAATTTGATAAAGCTCTAAAAAATTATCACTTTTTTAACACCCATATATATTACCTTTAAGAATTANCATTATTATGTAAAGTTTTTGAAAATGTTTTTGAATTTTATTGATTTTGTGTTAATAAATTAAGAACTTTAAGCAATAGAAAAAGTAATTTTTATCAATGCACAGATACTAATTATGATTTTTTTTTTTTTTTTTGGAAAGTGATTAAAAATATTTTTTGAGTGCTTAAAAGGTGCTTTTTTTTGTTGAAAAATCTGGTTATGCGCCCTGATAAGAGTGATAGGTAATGTGTGATGTTTTTACTTATATTTAATTTTTACATTTTCTGTAGCTATTATTGTGAGTGAAGATACAACATGCCCACGTTGTCCAACTGCACCACCTAGTAAGATTTCCTTGCCTATTATTTTCAGCTAAAATTATCATTATAAAAACAATATCAATGTAGTTAATGTTTAAAACTTTTATGGCGATCTTTGTCTAATTAACAGTTTTAGTCTAAAGATTGGATTTTTATACCTGTTGAATAACTTTGCAAAATGTTTCTCTTATTTTTTCTGGCATAAATTTTGACTGTTTAAATATTTTGATAACATGTTCTTGTTATTCTGTCACTTTCGAAAATTTTTGTCTAAAACAAATCCTAATCATGGTAGTATACAGTGTTTCTCCTATAACATATATAATTAAAAACGTGATGCATGATATTCAGGCGTTTCAATGAAGGACAATGTTATGAAACAGTATAAAGTGATCGGAATTCGGCGCTGCTTTAAATCTCACATGATCTCTAATTTATGCTTACACCTTGACTAAACTAAATTTAATGTATTTACAATTCATGAATTTTATAATTTTAATTTGTAAACAAGTCTATTGTCTTTTGCTTTATAGTTTATTCTTGATTTTTATCATAAATATTCATATACATTTAGATAGCAGCTTAACACTTCTCTCTATAAGTTAAATGAGTTTCAGATATCAATTAAAGGATTTTTTACCTAAAAATTAGTTTTCAAATCAGATGCTGTAAATACCAATTTTGATCATAAAATTTTTTATATTCCTGAATGTTTCAGCAAGGCTTGTTAAGACAACATCCAGAAAAAAGCCAAGCACTTCTCCTGGTAAGTTTATAGCCTTTTTTTTTTTTAACAAATGTTGTAAAATTCAGGCAATGCCAAAAATTTTAAGGAATATTTAAAATAAAAATGTAAATTTTAAAAATGAAGTTTTAAAATTTAAGTTTTAATTTATTTTCGGACTCATTTGCTTTTTACCTTAGGCTAGTATAAATATTATTCAATTCAAGCAACTTTAATTTAGTTTAGGCATGAAAATTGAAAATGGCTATTTAAGATAACAGTTACTAAAATTTTGTTATTTACCTCTGCGAACATTATTCATAAGGTTTGATGAAAACATTACTTTTTATTTTTACATAACCCTAACGTTACTTTTACATAGCCCAGTCTAACCAGACTGTATGAATGTCATTTTTTGAACTGATTCCCAGAAAGCTGAAAATAATTTTATTTCTCTTCTTTTTCTAAATAATTGTATTTCTCTTCTTTTTCTAAATAGTTTTATTTCTTCCTACTGTGGGTTTCCAGTAGACTATTACTGTGGGTATCCAGTAGACCCGAATACTGTGCGTTTCCAACAGTTTCCATAAAATATATCTGAAGCAAGATGAACGGTTTGCGAAAGAACCGCAATTTTTTTTTTTGTCTTATAAGATTTTTATTATAATGATAATAGTTTTTGATGCATTCAATTGTGAAATATTTGAAGGTTAACTCTTATCAAGATATATTTTACAAATTTTCTGTTTTTAAAATACATATAACAGTGATGAATTTATACTTAGTAATTGTTTTACTTATATTCAATTTCTTGTTTTCTATAGCTGCTATCTCAGTTCATACTGCTTCTCTTCGATCAACTACTTCTAGCCGTAAGAATTTCTTTGTAATTTGCTTTTGGCTTATATCACTATTTTATTTTAACCTAAAGTAACTGAAATTTAAAAGAACTTATGATTTGAAAATGCCCATTTATGATCTATGTTGCTAAAATTTAATATTTTATGTTAGGCAACATAACTCTTAAAGTAGTATGGAAAAAATAGTTATTTTACCACTTAGTATTAGTTTAATTTAGTGTTGAACATTAAACTTAAATAAGGGCTATAATGAGGCTTAGAAAATATTTAAAATTTTTTTTAATGGCATGATGTATTTTCTTACTTTAATGTGCCAGAATAAGTCATTAGACTTCCTAAAATATTGGGATTAATTGTATATACATACTTCACCAGGGGTCTGTCCANTAAAGTAGTATGGAAAAAATAGTTATTTTACACTTAGTATTAGTTTAATTTAGTGTTGAACATTAAACTTAAATAAGGGCTATAATGAGGCTTAGAAAATATTTAAAAAATTTTTTAATGGCATGATGTATTTTCTTATTTTAATGTGCCAGAATAAGCCATTAGACTTCCTAAAATATTGGGATTAATTGTATATACTTCACTTCATGCCAAGGTTTTTTACGAAACTGCTTTAAATGTCTTTTATAATAATTACAAAAGAACACAATATTTTTTGAGTTTTGGTTAAATAATTAATTTCCATTTCCTGACGAGATAAAAAGTTTACTTTAAAACAATTAAATGAGTCATACTGTTTCTCCAAATTTTAAAATTTATAAATTAAATGCTTATGTTTAGGTTATTAATTCTTACTGCTACAAGGGGGGGGGGTTATTGTACATTTCAAAAATTCTGAAATTTTTAATGATGTCACTTCAAAGTACTTCAAAACAATAAAATGTGTCTTCTTGTTTCTCCAAATTTTAAAGCACATAAATTAAATGTTTATGTATAATTTATAATTCTTACTACTACAAGAGCTGTCTTATGCATTTCAAAGATTCTGAAATTTATTATGATATTTTTCAATCTGATTCCAAAGTTTTTTTATTTAATTTAATTTTGTATTAGGTTAATAAATAATATTATTTTCCATTTTACAAAACTTATATATAACCGTTTATGATAGAAATACTACTTAACATTAAATTTTTTTTTCAATTTAAAATTTTAAATTACACTCCTCTCTCACAGTTGCTATGGTGACGTCTGGACAATGGTATGCACACAAAAGGTCGGCGGGCTTATAGTGCTGCTGCTTGCAAACAAAAACATACTTTCTCTGAATAAACATAGCTTTTTTGACGTATTTGGATTTATGTTAAATCCATTATATTTTTCTATTTAATGTTCTAATACAAAAGAAATTTAATTATTTATTAATATGTTTACTTCAAATCAATAAAATGTAGGATGTTTTTACTCAAATTTTTAAAATTAAATTAAGAAACAAAATAAAAATTATTTTTCCTCACTGCGAAATGAATTACACAATTTTTATTAAATATAGGATTAGGATCTTTTCCATTTTAATTTTAATAGTGTTTCTTGAAAATTGAAAAATTCTTTCATTTTACATGAAGCCATACCAGATCATAAAAATTAATAGTTTCTTAATTTTCTTCCTCATTATACATAATCTGTATGTTGTTTAAAATCGGTTTATTATATTTACATTTAGGCATATGATTCAAACCATATGATTCTTTGTTTTTACGAACTAGCCTAGAGTTTAATTATTTTATGACTAATACCTATTTAAATCTTTTAGCTGAATCTGATCGAATTTCAACTAGTACAATTCATATAACTCCCACTAGTAAGTTGAAATTTTTCTTATTCTCTTACAAGCCCTTTAAATTAGATTTTTTTAAAAGTAGATACTGATTATTCATTAATAAAGATGAGTGTATCATCTTTTTAGCATTTTCAATGAAATTTCTTCTACCAGATATGTAATTTTTTTTAATAGGCCTTTTGTTTTACTCAATATCTTTTATGAACACTCAACTAGATTCATATTATTTTTTAAAGTGGATTTCTTAGTTTTAAATAATTTTTCATAATTTTTTTCACGCATACTGACAAATCATAAACTTTTTTAAGGGTTAGTCATCATATTTCGAAATGTAAATCTCAAATTTTCTGTTTGTAATATACTATTTATTTTTAATGTTTTACTTATATTCAATTTCATGTTTTTATAGCTGCTATTTCGATTCATACTGCTCCTGCTCCATCAACTACTTCAGGCGGTAAGAATAACCTTTTATTTTGCTTTTAGCTTACATAAGTCTTTCTTTATGTTATTTAAAGCAACTGAAATTTAAAATAACTTGCAAGTTGTAAATGGCCATTTAGGATCTTTGTGACTAAAACTAATTATTCTATGTTAAGTAGCATTATTCTTGAATTAGAAATATTTGCATTTAGAACTAGATCATCTCAGTGCTAAATATTAAACTAAGCAAGTGTTACAAAAAGAAATGTAGTCTGTTTGTGACGGCATAAATCATGTATTGAAGAATTGCATAGTTATTTAATATTTATAGTTATGTTCTTATACGGTTAAAGATAATGTTGCAACATTATATTCCAACTTATTTTCTATTTAGTGTTACAAAGAACCAGCCACACCCAAAATTGATCTATTTGTTTGATTTAAAAGACATTGCCTGACCTAGATTTTAATTATTTTAAGACTAATACATATTTCTTTCTTGTAGTTGAGCTTCGTCTCATCCCACCTACTAAAAGGCATAAAACTCGCACCAGTAAGTTAGAATTTCTCTTTCAGGCAGCTTAAATTATAATTAAAAAAAAATGCAAATACATCTACTGACTTTCCTGATTGTTTACGATTGTTAATGAATTTTTTTATTTTAATGTGCCTTTATTTTACTTTTTAATAACATTTTTAAAACACAATCGATTCTCATTTTTTAAAAATGGGTTTCATAATTTTAAAGACAAGGAGATGAGCATGACAATTTTTTCATTGTAATGATAATAGTTTTTGATGCATGCTGACAAATTGTGAAATTTTTGAAGGTTAACTCTTATCAACATGCATTTTAAAAATTCTCAATACAAATAACTGTCATGAATTTATTCTTAGTATTTGTTTTACTTAGATTCAATTTTGTGTTTTCTGTAGTGGCTATCTCTATTCATTCTGCTTCTGTTAGATCAACTACTTCCGGCCAATAAAATTTATTTATATTTTGTGTTTGGCTTATATATTTTTTTTAAAACTTGCATGTAGAAAATGGTCATTTATTATCTGTGTTACTAAAATGAAATATTTTGATTAATACCATGATGATTACTTGCTGATGATGAACTGGTTTGATGTGCCTGAATATGTTCTTAGACTTCCTTAAATATTTGTACCGATTGTATTTAATTTCAAATTATGGTCTTTTGACAAAATTGCTCTGAATTTATTTTATGCTGAATAACTTATGACGAAAGTATGAAATATTTTTGAGTTAGGGTTTGCTCAAATTTTTATACATTATTATGAAACTATATTTTGTGTTTGCTCCAATTTGTGTATCATAATAATGTATAAAAATTATACATTATTATGAACCCATGTTTTGTATTTGCTCAAATTTGCATATCATAATAATGCACAGATATTTCCTTATTGGAAATACAAATTAGTTCGGCCTGTTTTTTTTTGTAGTCAAAAATGCCTTTAGTTTTGAACAAAATGAATGAACAGATTAATCAAAGTATTGTCCATTGCTGGCTACTACTTTTTCCCACCACTCAGGCAATTTCCGAATTCCATCTCGAAAAAATGTCTCTTCTTTTGTGGCGATCCAAGTTAGGGGCCAATTTTGGATTTCTGCGAATGAAGTGAACCGGTGACCTTTCAAATCGTGCTGCATCCGTCGGAACAACCAGTAATCAGAAGAAGCAATGTCCGGCGAATATGGCTGGTGCGACAATCCTATTTATATAGGATTGGCGACGGAACTCTTAAACTAAGTGCACGATTCTAGACAATTCTCGTCTAAATCTGCAAATATTAGTCCTGTCTCTTCAAAACTCGACTTTTTGAAAAATATCATTTTGTCACTAAATTGATCGCAAAAATTATCACCAAGTTGGCAAAATTGTAGCCAAACCAAGTTTTCCATAAGAAATGCATTAAGCATTATTTTTCCTCTAAATTACTTTGGAATTAGGAAATTTTCTTAAAACTTTTTTAATTAAATTATCTATTTAAGGTCCATCTGAGATATTTAGTCTAATAACAAAACCATGTTTACAAAATTATACACATATTTACAATTCATAACAATATGTATGTGGTTATACACATATGTATGTGTATATATATGTGTGTGTGTATGTATATGTCTGTGTATATAGATATATGTATATATATGTGTGTATCTATGTATATATATATATCATAAAAAATTTTTTTTTGTCATGAAGATTTTTTTTTACTGGTTGTGAGCTAAGAATTCTAAATTATAGTACAGTAATTTCCGGTAAATAGGCCGCGGCCTATACGTGTTTAAAAGTTGGGCTGTCACGATGCGCGGCCTGTACGCCGATGCGGCTTATATGTAGAATTTTTTTATCCCATCCCACAAGTGAGAATTTTTTGATCATGGTGGATTNAAAAAAAAAATATTTATCAATAACTTTTTTCTAAGTATAGAGTTTATGTTTTAAAGATTATTATTTTTTATGAGTATTTTCACACTTGTGATATTTGATAAAAATCGATGATCGATCGAAAAAAACGAAAGTGCGGCCTTTAGGACAGTCTTTACAACGGTGCTGCCTATAAGATGAAAATTGAAGTTTTTAATGATGTTTTTTGCGGGTGCGGCCAGTATGGCGGTGCGGCCTATTTACTGGAAATTACTGTATTACTATTATTGTTATAAGTTATCTAAAACTAATATGATTATTAATAAACAATGTTAATTTTTATTATTTTAATGATGTTTTTGACTTTACTGTACTTTTTTTAATAGATCTTAAATTCAAAATTAAAGTTTATTAATTGTTTAATAATTTTACAAAAATGTAATTAGATTTATCCTCAACATTTTTATTTATTAATTTGTTTCAAAAGACCCATGATTATTTGCTAAAATCATAAAACTTAGTATTTTTTCTTAGAAACATTCAGTCATAAAGTGATCTTAAAAATTCTATTCTATCAAAACCCTCTATTGCGAAATTTTCTTATAGTAAAATCCTGCTTAACTTACCAACAAGACTCATATTTAAAGTTAAAATGCATACAAGCTACACATTTGTGGTTGAAAATTTTAAATTCATAGTATGTCATAGTGAAAAATAAAGTTTAAAAATTTCAGAATTGCAAGTTTTGCTTTGCTTTGCACTTCGGAAAAAGATTTTATCTTCTACATGATTATAACACTAGAACTGCACCACTTCATTATTTAAAATTTTGAAACTAATTTTTATCAGTAAATATGTTTGTTGAGAAACATTAACTTAGTTTACAATTTTTATCATAACTTCTGTTACATGTAGCTGTTATGTAAATTGTTGCAGTTGCATTTCTTGCTTATATAGTACATAGTAGGTTAATTTTTTTTATCCCTTTTACAAAATATCTAACTTATCAGCTATTGTGTGTCTAACCTTTCTTTTATATTACCTAATTATTGTTCCAGCAACTGAAACATCAAAATCTATTACTCGAGCACCTGAAACCATTCATATTCCCATAAAAAGTAAGTTCTGAAATTTTGTTTATTCTAGATCTAAAGTATAATTAATTCTGCATTTTAAACTCAACAAGTTTATTATGAATGAAAAATTTTGATAGATGTTTTTAAAAATAACTTAATATTTGTTGCTTCAACAAATTAATGAACTAGTGTAGTCATCAAGAGTATAATTGAAATTACTTTGTACGAATCAGTTATTAAAATTTTATTATCTGAGTGTTAACATTGTAACTATCAACTTATTCTGAATGTATGCAACTTAGTATGTATATGTTTCCATTAATATTTAAATTCTCAATCTTTTCTTTTTTGTCAAAATTTTAGAAAAATATAAATATCTAGGAGCATCTGCAATGCAACTTTTTTACTATTCATTTTGATTTTGTTGTTATAAGGGTCAAAAAAGACCATAGTAAAATTTTGTTTATCTTATTTTCTGATACTTTCAGTTTAGGCCTGTTCTTTCAAAATGTATGTGATTGTAAATAGCTGGATTATACAAACAAGTCTATAAACCAATTTGTGAATACAAAAATTCGTAAATCAGCAATGCTTTAAAAAGAGGATTGGCACATAATTATTAATTAATAAGTAGGTAATCATTATAGTAGTGAATCATTTATTAGAAATCAAAGAATTAACAACTGAATAAATGAGAATTTCAACAATTGAATGCATCAACATGTCAAAAAATGGAGGAATGAGGGAAAGAGCGAGTTATCAAACAAGTAAATGAGTTAAACAATTAGTTCATTGAATCCTTTATTTGCCGATTCTCCTATTCATATTTTTCTCTAATTTAATAAATGAGAATTTCAATTGATTGTGTGAATCAACAGGACAACCAACCTTTGAATGGGGGTAAGGACGTGTCAACAAACAAGTGAATGAGTGAAACAGCAAATCAGTGTTAATTCATTGAATCCTTTATTTAGAGATAATCCCATTCACATTTTCTCTAATTTAATAAATAAGAATTCAAGAATTTTGTGAATCGACAGCTTAACCAACCGATGAATGATGGAAAGAATGAGTCAACAAGTAAATGAATGAGTGAAACAGCGAGTCAGTGTAAATTCAGGGTGGCCACCCACCTGGAAAACCTTGAAAACCAGGAATTATCAGGGAATTTTTTTGTACTGGAAAAAACCTGCACAAATCAGGGAAATTTGGATAAAAACCTGAAAAAATCAGGGAATTTTAGAGAAAAGCTGGAAATTTTTTTAATTTCACTAATTTAAATTATTTACTAATTTTCTTAATTTAAATTATTTCATCCATTATATCCAAATTTTTTAGACGGAAATGTATCTCCAAGCAGTTGAAATATCATCAACTTAACAATACTTTTGTTGCATCAAAATTTGCTCCATTACAGCTCTGTTAAACTAGAATGCCACATAAAATTCTCCCACTGTTGCTAAACAAATGTGGAAACCTTTGACCGCTATGGACTGTGCAATTTAGGAAGGATTGTGGTGGAGGTGGAAGAAGGGATTAGGATATTAGCTTCTGTTTTTAAATTCTGTCCTTGGGCTGAATCCATTTATGGCTTAAGTTTGTTCCAATGNAACGTTCCCTTTTACATTTTCTCTAATTAAATAAAAAAGAATTTCAAGGATTTTGTGAATCAACAGCTTAACCAACAGATGAGTGATGGAAAGAATGAGTCAACAAGTAAATGAATGAGTGAAACAGCAAGTCAGTGTTAATTCATTGAATCCTTTATTTACAAATTTTCCCTTTTACATTTTCTCTAATTAAATAAAAAAGAATTTCAAGGATTTTGTGAATCAACAGCTTAACCAACAGATGAGTGATGGAAAGAATGAGTCAACAAGTAAATGAATGAGTGAAACAGCAAGTCAGTGTTAATTCATTGAATCCTTTATTTACAAATTTTCCCTTTTACATTTTCTCTAATTAAATAAAAAAGAATTTCAAGGATTTTGTGAATCAACAGCTTAACCAACAGATGAGTGATGGAAAGAATGAGTCAACAAGTAAATGAATGAGTGAAACAGCAAGTCAGTGTTAATTCATTGAATCCTTTATTTACAAATTTTCCCTTTTACATTTTCTCTAATTAAATAAAAAAGAATTTCAAGGATTTTGTGAATCAACAGCTTAACCAACAGATGAGTGATGGAAAGAATGAGTCAACAAGTAAATGAATGAGTGAAACAGCAAGTCAGTGTTAATTCATTGAATCCTTTATTTACAAATTTTCCCTTTTACATTTTCTCTAATTAAATAAAAAAGAATTTCAAGGATTTTGTGAATCAACAGCTTAACCAACAGATGAGTGATGGAAAGAATGAGTCAACAAGTAAATGAAAGAGTGAAACAGCAAGTCAGTGTTAATCCATTGAATCCTTTATTTACAAACGTTCCCTTTTACATTTTCTCTAATTAAATAAAAAAGAATTTCAAGGATTTTGTGAATCAACAGCTTAACCAACTGATGAGTGATGGAAAGAATGAGTCAACAAGTAAATGAATGAGTGAAACAGCAAGTCAGTGTTAATCCATTGAATCCTTTATTTAGAAATTTTCCCTTTTACATTTTCTCTAATTAAATAAAAAAGAATTTCAAGGATTTTGTGAATCAACAGCTTAACCAACTTATGAGTGATGGAAAGAATGAGTCAACAAGTAAATGAATGAGTGAAATAGCAAGTCAGTGTTAATCCATTGACTCCTTTATTTGCCATATTTCTGATTCATATTTTCTCTAATTCAATAAATGAGAATTTCAATTGATTGTGTGACTAAACAGGACAACCAACCTATGATTGAGGGTAGAGACGCGCCAACAAACAAGTGAATGAGTTAAACAGAGAGGGAGCATTAATTCATTGAATCCTTTATTCACCAATTCTCTTATTCATATTTTCTCTAATTTAATAAATGTAAATTTCAACAATTGTGAGAATCAAGAACTCAACCAACCGATGAACGAGGAAGAGAACAAGCCAACAAACAAGTGAACGAGTTAAGGAATGAGTCAGGATTAATTTATTAAATCCTTTATTTACCAATTCTCGCTTTCATATTTCTCTAATTTATTTGTTTCGTGTAATTCCTTAAATTTCCGATTTAATGATTTGTATTTTCATCAATCCCTTAATTCATTGGCTTATTTTGTTGCTTTATTTATTCATTAGTTGATTCACGGATTGATTGATTTTATTGACTTTTTGTTTATTGATTTACTACATCAGGATTACTATTCCGTACTACCTATAAGTTTGATTTCAATTATACTCGATTAACAGGGCTCCGAAGGTTCAGGGAAAACATGAAATCATCAGGAAACTTTATTTTGACTTTAAAAAGCATGAAATAGTCGGGGGAAATTGAAATTTTTTACAAACACCTGGAGAATAACCAGTCTCAGAATAGTCAATAACACTGATCAGTTATTGAGATTCGAATTAAATAATTCTAGCATCTATTACAAATATTTGTTGCAAAAATGTCGCATTTTAGTGAAACTTTCATGCTTTCATTGTTATTCGCTATGTTCTTGTGTGCAAAATCCAATATTTGACATTACAAATAAATAATCAAAGTTTTCTGATGAAATATTTGACCATATATATTAATTGTGGTCTTAATTTTTACTGAAATTTTCTTGATATACCTGGAAAAGTTAGGAATTTTTTTTCTTGAAATTTAGTGGAACTCTGTTTAATATAGGTTAATTTGGCACAAATTGTGATGGTAAGAGAGAAAAAAGACAAAGCATGCAAAATAGATAGTCAACTTCTATTAACGGCGATATACATGGAGGAAAGCCTCAGGTGATTGAGGTTTCACTTTAGTTCTAATAAAAAAAATCTTTCATGTTGTAGAAATAAAAAAAATAAAATTAATAATAGTTACTGAATAAATATTGAAAGTCTGTAAATTGGTGTTTCGATTTAAATTTGAGCCGGTCTTATTATTTTTTTATTCATTGATACACTTGAACTTATCAATACTTTTTGTTAATTAATAGTTTAAATTACAAAACCTTAAGTTAATATTCAAATAAGGTTAATAAATTTTGTTGTAATTCGTCAAAAATGAATTTATTTTTGATATTTTGTCTCCTTTTTTAGCAAAAACTTGGCCTCAAATCTTGATTAGAACAACAACAAAGAGACACGTCTTCACTGCTCCAAGTAATTAAAACTTTGATTTTTTTAATATAATTTTTATTGTAAAACATGTTTTTGAAATTCATTTATCATTAACATTGAAAAACTATGGCTTATAAAAATGAAGCTCTGCCACTATTGCTTTGTTAAAACATATAACAAATTAAAGCTTTTCCCCCATTCAAACAATTTGCTACTTTACATCTATAAAACCTGCTTTAATTACCCTCTCCCAAGCTTTAAAAAAATATATCGGAATTAAAATATATACAGCTCAAATAAGCGGTAAGAAAAATGAGAAGTAAATTGTGGCTATTTATTATCATTTTTCAGCAATAAATAAGATGTCCCCCTAAATAACTTTTTACTTAGTGATAGGACTTTTATTCTATGTCTTCATTACCTAATTTTACATGAATAATGTGGCATAATGAATGTAGCATTCTTTTAATGTCTTTAAATGTAAGTTCATTTCAGAATTTTAACTTTGTTTTTTCTACATTTCCACGAGTTTATGGAAAAAGTTTAGAGAAGTAACAATGAATGATCAATGCTGAGTTGTGTGACCTAGTACTGCGTGCATTAAAACTTCATGCTCACATTTTTCAGGAAGCAATATTTTTCAATCTCGCCCCATAGATATCTTTATTTTATGTTATAACCATTGTGTAACAGTCGACCAAATTTTGAGTTTACGACAACTGATGTTCAACTCCATATCCTTGTAATTTCAAACCTATCCAGAAGACAAGGAAACTCCTGGATCAGTACCCACCGAGAAGTATGATTTGTTATGGGAACATGGAGGACTTTGTGACTCGACAGATTTAACATGCATCAGTCACCAATTACTACATGGGGAGTCTTTGGCCAGCAGGGATGAGCCCCTGACCTCTTGGACATTAGCCCAATGCCCTACCAACCAGGCTATCCCCGCCTCCTATGGATATCTTTAAAATTTTATATATGATTTCCATTTAATTTTAGTGAGATATTATAAAATCAATGGAGCGACGTCTGGCAAAGACTTCTAGAAAAGGCTAGGGCCAACCCGAAACAGTTATGATACTGAAGGAGAAAGATATTAGATAATCAAAGTTAAATAATCAATGTAGATTTTATTAGAATTTTTACAATTTAAGTACCAAACATATTTTAAATTAACCCCTTCGTGTTTTGTAGAGTCATTAAAGTTTTCTCTCTTTTAATTATGTTTAAAAAATAATACACTTGTTTTAATAATTTATCCAAAAATAATTTTTTTTTGTTTTAATTTTTCAGCTATAACTGATACAGATCAAGAAACTACTCCTGGTGGTACTTATATTTTTACATACTTCAGTGTACAGTGTGCAAGAAAAATTAACTACTCTGAATAACTTTTGATCTAAAGGTCGCATTTTAATGAACTAAGGCTTAATCTCAATGGTTTGAGGGGATGACCTTAAATATGCTAATTAGTTAGTGTACTTCTGATGATGCTTATGTTTTTGCATACTTATACTCCATCTATGTACAGTGTGCAAGAAAAATCAACCGCTCTGAATAACTTTTGATCTAATGCACAGATTTTCACTAACTAAGACTTAATCTTAATGGTTTGAGGAGATGACCTCAAATATGCCAATTAGTGCAGATAATATTTTAAATTACAAAATCAGACATAAAAACATACTTTCTCTGAGAAAACATACCTTTTTTCGACAGATTTGTAAATCTGACCCCTGAAACACCTGACACCACGAACTCGTGAGATTGCGTCTAAATGACTGCAGCATCACTAAACAGGGCTATAAAGGGTGGTAGTTGTGTGCACTGAATAGATCGTGTAACAGTCAAAGCTGGTCATGGTCCCTGTGGCAGAATTTTTTCAGGCTTTCTGCGACATGCTTCTCTAATACTAATATTTTTCTGTTTTCCCGCGAGATATTTTTGAAAATAACAAATATACATGTTACTAATTTAAAGTAACAGAAGTATCAACTTCAAAAATAAATAAATTAATAACTTTTCGGTTGAATTAAAATAATATAACTTTTTTATTTGAATGTGTAATTTTTTTCTAATATTCTCGCATTTTGTAGGGGGAAAACATACTAATTATTTCCTTTTTCGCATTTCGTAAATCATCATTGCATTAAAAAATTTTTTTTAAAAATGTGAAATCCGTAGTAGTAACTATTGAAAAAAAGATCGACGACAAACTCGTGCGAGTCGGTCTCTTCGAAAAGGAGTTACTAAATGCGTGTTTTTATTCCAAGTTTAATTGTTGTAATAAACAATATTGTATGAAAAATGAAGGATTTAAAAAACAATGTGTAAATCAATAGCAATAACTCTATAAAAAAAATAGAAAGAAAATTTCTACAGAAAAGAAAATCAAAATTTTTTACTTCCCAAAGGAACTCAGTAACGTGCTGCGACATTGTCGCCGTGTCACCACAATTCTGCCACAGGGTTCATGGTAGAGGAAATTGGTCAAATGTTAAGTTTTACTATGCATTGATGCATCCAGATAGGAACTACAATTTATTTTTTGGCCCAAGGGAGTGCTAACAAATCAACACATTACTGCAGTATTCTGGTGAATCAATGGAAATCAATCAAAAGCAAACTGTCAGACTTTCTCACACAGATAACAAGTGATCCATAGTAACAATTGTTGAACAAAGTAGTTTTCAGAATGTTATAAAATATGGATATTAATTCCATATTTATTTGTAAAAATTAAATTCACATGGGGCACAATTTTTTAATCATCACTTGTTATATTTAGTCACCCTATGGCCAGAGGCCTGCTTTAATTTTACCCAACATCTATTATCTTATACTTAGTCATGGTGCGTAGTGTTTTAAAAAGGTGCCTAAAGGTGCTTATTTTTTATTTTGGTTTTTTAAAAACCCTTAAAGGCGCTTTTTTCATGGGTTGTTTTTAAAAAGTGCTTATTTTTCCCTTTTTGAAAATGATTATTCCATGTTGATTTTCGCCATGTATATGCAAAAATGTGCTTTTCGTATTGTTCTATTCAAGGTTTTCGCAATTAATTTATCCAAAATCTATTTGAGCATACTGTCAGTCCATAGCGTATCAAAGTGCTAATCATTTTACATGTTTGATTAAAAACTTGAGAATTCACATGTGCTGGTTTCCGTGAGATTCTTACACTAGATAGAACACAAGATATTTTCAATTTCAGGCTTCATTTCTCCCCCCCCTGATCTGAAGCCGAAAAATCTCTTAATCATTTTACAATTGCTAATATAATCAAGAGGATTTTTTTTGTCAGAAACTAGTTATTTTATCATGATCATGTAAAGTCTTTGAAAATTATTTTGCATTTTGTCAATGCATTCTTAAAAATATGCTTTTGTTATTATATGCTTAAAAATACTTTTGAGTGCTTAAAAAGTACTTAAAAATGCTTATTTATTGGTGAAAGATTTGGCTTTGCACCATTCTTAACATTACAATTATAACATTAAATTACATTATATCATAATAATTTTTGTATTTTTGATTCTTTTAGTAAAGGCTGTTAAAACCACACCTAAAAAGAAGCATAAAACTACTACTGGTGAGTTAAATTTTCTTTATAGTATCAATTATAGCCTTCTTTTTTTTTACCTTAGCATTAGTTTTCAAAACTGATGATGTGAAGTTTCTTCACTGTCAAAAAATTTAAAAAATCTACTTTTAGGAGAATAAGGCTGAAGTACAATTAAGGAACAAGCATTCTTTTTGATATGACTAAAGGGAAATTCATTTCCAGCTTAATGGGGGAACAGTTCAAACTTAGAGTCTTATTTGACCATACCAATAAACAAAATAGACTTTTTGTGCATAGTACCTGAGAAAATCGAACTAATTCTATGCATTTCTCTGCAGACTAAGCTTTATTCATAAAATTGCTTCATAATTATTTTAGGGTTGCCACAGGTGACTAAAATGCGACTATTTGCATCTATTTTCAGTCTGAACTTTTTTTGCGTGAAAAGTCTTAAAAAAGCAACTATTTTTAGCAAAAGGAGACTTTTCTGTACTCCTAGCGAGGTTTTTAGCATAAATTTGGTTGACAACCTGCGGCCCGCAGGAGGTTCTGAACACAATAAAATGTTTTTTTCTTTTTCTTAAAAAATAAAAAGTGTTGAAAATTTTGAATTGCAAATTTGAGTTATCACTTTTTAATGCGCCCAAATTTGCACAGATTCTTCTGTAAGTCTATTTTGTTTCTCGATCGCCTTTTCACTTTTATTCCTACACAGTTCTGCATGATTTTTAAAAACCCAATTTTTAATATGATATTAACATGCATGAATTTTGAATTTGAGTAATCACTTTTTAAAATATACCTATATTTGCTAAATCAATTATTGATAAAAGGGAAAATTTTATAGAAAAAGCATTTTTTTGTTAATGAAAAATTATTTTCTGAATGAATTCTAGTAATTAAAAGTATTTAATTTTCTGCAAATATGCTAATTTTTTTTATATAAAAATATTGTGCTAGAACACTAATGTATATATATAAATTATCATATTGGCCACCAACTTGTCTAAAGGGATCATTTTATATGACAAGTTATTTAATAAAATTTTAGTCAGATTATTGAAAAAATTTTGTTCTTATTTAGGCAACTATTTTCTTAGTTTTCAGCAACTATTTTCATGCTTTAGGCTACTAAAAGCAACTATTTTGTTCATTTTTTTCTGTGGCAACCCTGTTTTTTACCAAAGTATCTTATATTTTCAACTTGGAATAATGCTATTACAAAATGTATATATTACGAAAGAAATGATATTATTTATGCAAAAAAGATTAGTGCAAGTATATTTCGAATAAATAGAACATGCAACTGCATTATGCTTCATAGACGCACAAAGTTTGGTGTTTCCTATTTTAATGATATTTCCCAAAGTTCACAATTTCTTTCATTTTTATGTAAAGCCATTAATCATAGTTATATTCTCCATTATACATTATCTGTATTTTGTTTAAATTAAAGTTGCTGCATTATATTTGTTTTTTTTCCTTCTATTTATTGTTATAAATAACACCTCCCACCGAAATCATTCGATTCTTTATTTTAAAAGACATATAATCTGGAGTTTAACAATTTTAAGACTAATACATATTTAATTATTTTAGCTAAGCCTGGTCACACCTCAACTAGTATAATCCATAGAACTCCCTCTAGTAAGTTAAAATTTATCTTATTCTCTTGCAAACAGTTCATTTTTTTAAAATAGAAATACATTGACAGTGTTTGCTGATTATTCATTTAAAAAGATGAGTGTATCATTATTTTAATCAGTTTTTTTTCTTTCAATAGCCATGCATTTTTTTTCTTTTTGATATGCCTTTTTTTTTTACTTACTATTATTTTCAAAGCACTTAAATGGATTCACATTATTTTTAAAAATTATTTTATAGTTTTAAAGAGATGAACTTTTTTTTAATGTAATGATAAAGTTTTTTGGTGCATACTGACAAATTGTGAAAATTTCGAAGGTTATTATATTTCAAAATGTATCTTTCAAATTCTCTGTTTGTAATAGGCATATAAATATCATATTACTGTTTTACTGATATATTTAATTTCATGTTTTCTATAGCTGCTATATCAATTCATACTGCTCCTGTTCGATCAACTACTCGACGCCGTAAGGATTTTTTGTTTGTTTTGCTTTTAGCTTATGTTTTTTTTTAGTAACTAAAATTTAAAATAACTTGAAAATTGTAAACAGCTATTTGTGATCTTAGTTACTAAAACTAATTAACCTATGTTATATGCCATTAATTTTGAATTAGTTTTATTTTTCCTTAGGGCTAGTTCATTTTAATGCTTAATATTAAAATTCACTAAGCAAGTGTTACAAAAATAATGTACTCTGCTTTTGTGTTGCTTAGAATTGTTTTATAGTTTTAAAGAGATGTACTTTGATCTGTTTTAAAGAGATGTGTTGTAAAAATAATGTACTTTGAAGAAAGTAATTAAAAAATGAGATTTTGATCAATGCCATCATGGTTACTTGAACTACTTTGATGTTCCTGAGGTTCTTAGACTTTATGAAGTATTGCTACTTTTTTTTCGTATTTTACTTGAAGCTGAGAACTTCTTGCAAAATTATTAGAATGATATTGCTGCACCGTATTTAAAACATTCTAATTCAAAAAAACTGTGGGGAAATGATTAAAAAAAAACAGTAAAGAACTGGAGATAAAACGAGAAGCAAGCAAAGTGGATATACAGTAAACGAGTTCATCAGAAAGTGACAATTGAAAATTGAAATTTATGTGCCGTAAATTTCGAATAAGCACATTGAAATTTGAATTAAAAGCTAATTGGAACTGAAATTGTATATTGTAGTAGTGTCATATTAAAATTATTGTGTTTTGAAAGAAAAAAATTAATATAAATGTCTGAAACCTAGTTAGATTTAAGATGGAATCGAGCAAGTCAAAAAGTAAAGTCAAACTAGAATTCTTAAATCATCATATTCAAAATTTAAAGAAAACATGTAAATTGAAATCAAAATATTGATTTTATACTGCAAAAGGGAAAAAAATAATGATTGAAAAAAGTTTTAGGCTGTACGATAGAATCATCCAGAAATCAAGTGCATTAAAAAATGATTGTCAAAAATTGTGTATCATAATAAAGTTTCAAAATTATTGTTATTTGAGAAAAAGAGAAAAGACTCTGCAATTTCTGAAAATAAAAAACAATTAGATATTATGCAATCATCATAAATTAAGCATTACAAGGGAAAGTTCTTGGTTTTACTTTTATTTTCCGGTTAGCATTTTAAGAACTACCAACCTAACAAATCTATCATAGTTTTCTATTTATAGACATTATTATTTTCTTATTATTTTAAAACTAATTCAATTTTAATATTTTAGCTAAGCCTGTTAAGACCACAACTAGTATAAAACATTTCACTCACTCAAGTAAGTGCAAAACTTTCTTAGAAGAAATATAAATTATCTATTTTCAATTTATATGCTATTTTCAATTTATATGCTATTAACCGCAAAAACTGAAAAGAACTAACCTTCAGAAATTCTGTTTTATCTATCATTTATAGTGTTTTATTAAATTATCTTTTAGAAGGTGTGAATTTTTTTTTCATGTGTGTTTTATTTTCTTTTGGCTGTTGCTTCTAATTCCAAACGGTATAGCTAAGCTGTACTATTTATACTACTCCTGTGCTCACTTGCTATATCGTCACCATGAATTCAATGATCTCCTAAAAGTAAGAAAATAAAGAATATCTTCTAAAATCTCCTTAAAACAGAACCTAAAAATCTAAGTACAGTACAAAATCAAATGTCTGAGTATCAGTTTACTGGAAATGTCTATTTTCAGGTCACTTTTTAAGAATCAAATATCTTTTGTTTATTTATTTATTTGAAAAAAAAAAATAAAAATATTTTTTTTTTTGCTCATGATCTGTTAAAAGCAAGTATTGGTAAAGAAAAATTCTTTTCTTTTTACTCCTAGCTAAACATTTATTGCACTACAATAAACAAAGAGATGTCGAGAAACAAGAGCTGTTAAATCGAAACTAACTTTGTTGAAAGGAATAAACTGTAAATATTAATGAAGCTTTGTTTCCCTTAAAATTATAAATGTTTTCATTAAAAAGTCTACTCAATTCTTTCTTCATTTTATCCTATTTTTTATTAAATGTGATTAATTTTTGTCTCATGTTTTAATCCTATGTTTAATTTTTATTCTCTGCCTTGATATATTTTATTGTATTAAGGATTTTTTTATTAAATGCCATTTAATATCTAAAAAAACGTTTTTTGTATGAAATTGACTTTAATAATCACCTATTTTCTATTTTTTTTATTGAATAACACATGCTTTGATATTTGTTTACCTAAAAGACCCATAATTTTCTGAACTTGCTGAAGTTCAGACCGATTCTGGATATGGGACTTTCTGCTATATATGAGTGGGAGAAGCTGTTCTGATATTTGCTATTTTAAAATTAGCTTTTAGCTAAATGCTTTTCTTTATATTCAAAAACTATGAAGAGCTAACCAATTAAATTTATCAATTCTTAAAATCTGTTTATTTCATCAATTACAAAGGATTTTATTTAGAAAGGTATATTTGCTTTGTTTTATTGTTTATTTTTTAAAATGCACAATTACTAGAAGTTATATTTTATTTTTTAAAGTATTTATAAAATAATATGGACTGAAAAAAAACTCAATTCGGTAGATAACAAATGAAAGTCAGTATTTAGGAGTAGAAAATGTAATTTCTAGATAAAAAAATCTTCAAATATCTACCGAATTCAAACTGAAACGTGAAACAAAAGATTCACATTATTTTTGAAAATAGGTTATTAAGTTTCGAAAAGATGATAATGAAATATTTTTCTATAATAATAATGTTAGTAGTGCATGTTAACAAACTAGGAAATTTTTTAAGGTGAACAAAATGTATTTTCATTAATTTTCTGCTTTTAAAAAATGATATTTATTTAATTGTTTTACATATATTCAATTTCATGCTTTACATAGCTACTGTTCTGATTCATTCCAAGCCTGTGCCGACAACTACTCCAGCCAGTAAGCATCCCTTATGCTCTGCATTTCACTATTATAAGTCCCAGTTACTTTAGAGGTGCACAACCTGTGGTCTGCAGGCCACATGAGCCCTGCCAATTGTTGATGTGTGGCCCGCAGGAACTTCTGAACGCAAGAAAACAATTTCTTTTAGCTTGGTTTTTTTAGACATTATAATTTTTTTTTTATTAAAATATTTAATTCAAATTTATATTTCTCTATAAAATGCAGATATTTTTTACACTTTCATTCTGTAAGCTGCTTTTTGGTTAGAATTTATATCCCCATCCCAATATTTATGTATATCAGTATTTAATAAATTAATTATTGTGAAAAATGGAAAAAGTTTTTTAAAAAAAAGTATCAAATTTTTTAGTTTTAAATACATTCAAATAATTAAAAATATTTAATTTTCTGCAAATATATGTTATTAAGTTTACTGATAAAAATATTTAGTACTTAGAACATTAATGTTTGTGTAAAAATTATCACATTTGCCACTAACATGCCGAAATATGGGTGCGGTCCATCGTTAGTCTACCTGCTGTGCAAGTGGCCCTTCACTCAAAAAAGTTGTGCACCCCTAAGTTACTTAAAATAAGTTTGACCTAATTAAAGCTTGTAATTTTTTAAAAAAATTTGTAAATAGATTAGAAAATGTAACACTAATTATTTAATCGAGTGTTGTAAATTTGTACTGGTCACATATATGCACATGTTATTTCTTTTGCGTAACTGTTGAAAATAACTTTTTAAATTGAAAGCTGATGGACAAGGCATCAAGAATTTTCCAATCATTGAGTATATTGGAAGATTATTCCTGCAGACCACCAAGATGCACCTTATCTGTAGTTGGCAGAGTTGTATTGTTGAAATAATGTTTGACTTCTATATGAATACTTATAAAATTCTTAAGAACTAGATTCCTGTGATTCTTGTATTCCACCCTTAAATAATGTAATTATCTGTAGTTGGCACAACTGAACTGCAAAAAATTTATGATTGACTATTGTCCTCTTCTTTGTCAGCTCTTTGCAGGCCTTGACTGCCTCAACAGCTGACAAGTGCCAGTGCCTCCTATCCATGGCAACTCCCTTCCAATTTCTAATCTTTGGTGTTTTGAGGTCATTTTCGAGGTCGTTGAGCCATTTAGCTGGGTGTGTGCCTCTGGGACGTGACCCCTCGGCAGGGTTCCCACAGATCAGGGAGAACAGGGAAAACCTGGAATTGTCAGGGAATTTTATTTCAACTCTAAAAATCAGGGAATAGTCAGGGAAACTTGCAATTTTCTTACAAAAACCTGGAAAATTCCTTCATTATTCCTGGAAAAAAACCAGTCTTAAAATTGTCTATAACAATAATCAGTTATTGAGATTCGAGTTAAATAATTCTAACATCTATTACAATTATTTATTGTGAAAATTTTACATTTTAGACATACTGAATTGCATCTTTCCTCTTATAATGATATATATTTTACACGAAAAATCTAATACTTGGATAACAAATAAAAAAATAAAAAATTTCTAATGAAAAATTTCGTAGTATAGATAAAATATGGTATGGATTTTCATTGAAATTTACCTGGAATACCTGGAAAAGTCAGGGAATTTTTTTTCTGAAAATGAGTGGGAACCCTGCCTCGGGGTTCTTAAAGGAGATGATTCTCATGGTGCTATTTTCAGGGCTTCTCCATAGATGACCCAATCATCTCAGCCTATCACTACAGATTATTTGTGTAATTTGGGGCTGCCTTTAAAATTGGTAGAGCTCGAAGTTATATCCGGTTCGCCAGCATCCTCTTTCTTGAATTGCGTCAAAGATGGTTCTTAGTATCTTTCTTTGGAAGGTGTCCAGTGTTCGCTGTATATCTGAATTAAGGGTTAAAGTTTCGCTTCCATAAAACAGTACAGGAAGTATGAGTGTCTTATAGCAGTGTTCCCCAACCCCCGGTCCACGGACCGGTACTGGTCCGTGAATCAAATTGTACCGGGCCGCTCATTTCATTGAAACTGAATTTAAACTCCTAGGTTTATTCCCCAAATTAAAAATATCTGTGTTCCATTAAAATTTTATTTATTTAAAAAAAGGGGGCCCTGAATGTGCGGACATAAATTTTTTAATGTTTGTATTGTATCATTGTCTCCGATTACCCCCAGATGGAACCGTCTCATTGGAAAGAAACAAGCTCAGGATTCTCATTGATTTAACGTTCCAATAAGTTAAAATATTAAATCACTTTATGTTTTTTTTTGTTGTAGTTGTATTTTATTTTGAAGGCATGTTTAAATACAATTACATTAAAATTGACAAATCGAAATAATCTAAAATATAAACAATCGACGCCCTCCCCCCAGCGGGCCGCGGTAAAAATATCAAACAATTACAGATCCGCAGTGATAAAAAGGTTGGGGCACACTGTCTTAGAGAATTTTAACTTTGTTTTTTGGCTGAGAAGATTCGATCTTATTTGTCTTCTCAGTCCAAAGAAACACTTATTTTGTCTCGATTGCTGATTTCTGCTCTAAGTATGTTTTGATCGTTAACAGATTATTGTATCAATGCTTAAAAATAGTTTGTGAATGTGTTTAGTAATAATATGTTTAGTAATGATCAGTTAAAATTATTGCAGACAAAAGATAAAAAATTTGAAAAAAAGTAGACTAAGATACCCTGCTACTAAATTTATGCTACCACTGAGTTTCCGTTGCTCAGAAACCAGTGTTCGAATGCTCCCCATAATGTAAATTCTTTAAACATTTGTTATCCTAAACAAAAAAGGTTTTACTGTATAAATGGATATTTCTTATATGCCATTTTTTAATAGACAAATATAAATTGATATTTCTGATTGAGAGAAGATCTGCATAATACCTCATCTATACAGATGGTCTAAATCTTTTTATTGTAAATTTAATTTTTTCCCTTGAATTTTATAGAACTTTATATAGAATTTTATGGAACTCTTTCATTTTATATCAGGCCATTAAATCATAATTTAATGCCCCACTTTGAAATGCCTGTATACAGTTTAAAATAAAGTTGTTAGTTTTTCAGGTTTTTGTTTTGAGTACACAAAACCTTCCTTTCTTTCTGTACATGGCTTGAGTACGAAACCTTTTCAGACCTCAATAGACTTTTTTTTTAAATTTAAACATATTTTTTTACATTTAACATATTTATTATCGACTTTTTATTATTTTTAAACTAATGCAGTATAAATTATTTTAGCTACTGAGGCCACAACTCGTACAGTACATTTCACTCCTTCTAGTAAGTATAACGATTTCCCTGTTAGAGAGCATTTTGGATGTTTCTCTTTTAATTTAGAAATCCTAGAAATTTCACAGAATGAAACTTTTTTTCTAATAAAAATAAATTCTTAATGCATGTACTAAAATAAGCTCGAAAAATCTAACAACTTAAACTTATCATTTCTTTAAGTCTATTTTCATTTAATCAATTGTAATGTATCTTATCTTAATTTTCTATTGAAAGTTGCGCACTTTTTTATTCTTACTTGCCTTTTTTATACACTTTTTTGGCTTATTTTCTTAAATATACACGAATTAAATATAACTAGAAGGCACTATATATCTTTAAAGTGCTTACTGTTATATGAATGTAAAAAAGTAAATTTAAAATGTATCAAATGTAATTAAATAAATGCATTGAAATGAAACATGGAATAAATTATTCACATTATTTTTATAAATGGAATTCAGATTTTAATAAAAATTGGAATTGAAATATTTTTTACTCAAATAGTATTTTTTTTTTTTTGGTTCATGATAAAATATTATTATATTCTTTAAGATCTATTTTTCAAAACATATTTTTAGGAATTGTAGAATACTTTTATAAAACACAATTTATTTAATATTTGTTTTGCTTACATTCTATTTTATGTTTTCTATAGCTTCTGTTGTAATTCATTCTAAATCTGTGCCAACAAGTAAGAATTCTTTTTGTTTTGCATTATAAGTATCAATTACCTAAAATAACTTGATTCTAATTAAAGCATGTAATTCCTATGTAAAATTATTTGACATGGATGTTTAAAATAAATAATCTGTTATACCTAAATAATCTGTTATACCTTTCTTCTAATTGCCCTTATATTTATTTTTAATCTTAACTGTTTAAAATGAACTAATTAGGTATGCTGTAGTTATCCACCTGAATCGATTATACATTATTTTATATGTTAATTATCATATTTACTATTGACTTTTTATTATATTAAGACTAATGCGGTTTAAATTATTTTAGCTATTCATACAGCACATTTCACACCTTCTAGTAAGTATAAAGATTTCTTATACCTCCATTGGAGGAAATGTAGATTTATATTGTGCACTTTTTTTGTACTTGCATGCCTTTTTTTTTACACTTTTTTTGCTTATTTTCTTAGATACACACAAATTAAATATAACTAGAAAGCACTATATATTTTTAAAGTGCTTACTTTGTTATATGAATGGAAAAAAGCAAATTTGAAATGTAATTATAATAAATGCATTGAAATGAAACATAAAATAAATTATTCACATTATTTTTATAAATGGAATTCAGATCTTAATAAAAATTGGAATTGAAATATTTTTTTCTCAAATAGTACTGTTTTTTGGTTCATGATAAAACTCTTTAAGATCAATATTTTTCCAAAACATATTTTCAGGATTTGTTAAATACTTTTAAAAGACACAATTTATTTAATATTTGTTTTGCTTACATTCTATTTTATGTTTTCTATAGCTTCTGTTGCAATTCATTCTAAATCTGTGCCAACCAGTAAGAATTCCTTTTGTTTTGCTTTATTAGTATCAATTACCTAAAATAACTTGATCTTAACTAAAGCATGTAATTCCTATGTGATATGTTGAAAATATTAGCTATTTGGTTGTTTAGAAACTTATCTCGTTTTTCTTTGGGAAAATGAAAGACAATTTTTGTATGATGAATAAATATTTTATTCAATTATATATTGGCCATTCTGGTCCAACACCTTTTGCCATCTTTTTGGTAGTAGCATGATTCCACGCTCATAAAATTTTTGGTCTTTGCTTTCAAAAAACTTATACACGTGATTTTTGACCCCTTCATTTAAAGTAAAGGTTTTACAGTTCAAAAAATTTTGCAGTGACCGGAACAAACAATAATCCGAAGGCGCCAGATCTGGAGAATATGGTGGGTGTGGTAGTGTATCTCATTCCAGCTGTAAAAGCTTTTGGCGAGTGACCAAACTTGTATGAGGTCTCGCATTATCTTGGTGGAACACTATACCTTTTCTGTTGATTAATTCTGGTCTTTTCTGTTGAAGTGCATCATTCTGTTTATCCAGCTGACGACAGTAGACTTCCGAATTATTGGTTGCGCTATCCGGTAAAAGCTAAAAAAAAATAATAATAACATTCCTTTAAAATCCTACCAAACAGACAGCATCACCTTTTTTTGATGGATATTGGCTTACGAAATGCTTTGAGTCGGTTCATCTTTTTTGCTCCATGATCTCTGGCATTGTTATAGACAACCCATTTTTCATCTCCAGTAATGATGCACTTCAAAAATGGATCGTTTTCGTGACATTTGAGAAGCGAATTGCAGACGTCAATGTGAGGACACAAATTTCAGAACATGGGGAACCCATATATCGATTCGAGGTTAAACTCAGCCCTTTCAAGCAGTCATAAACAGTTGAATTCGTTAAATATAACCTCTCACCGATCTCACGTCTTGTTATTCGGCAAATTGCATCAACTAATGTCTTTATCGTGTCTTTATCAGCTTCATCCAGCCTTCCAGAACATGGTGCATCTTCGACATCAAAATTGCCAGTTTGAAATTTTGCAAACCAGTTCTGGCACTGGCGTACTGTCAACACATCTTCTCTGTCTGGCATGAACATAATTTTTACCTTTTCTATAGTAGAAAAGTAAAATATGACAAAAATGCTGCTTATTACTCTCCATATTTAAAAGGGCACCAACCAAAAACTACTGCATAGAATTAATTGAACTTTTTCACACACAACCTTACTATATCAGCTCTCAAGACATATAATGATAATGCAGCTTAAGTGTGAAATTGGGTTCGAAAAAATACAATTAAATCCTCTGTTGGAAAAACGAAATTACTTTTTGGTCAACCCGATACATAAATAATCTGTTATACCTTTCTTCTATTTGTCCTTACATTTATTTTTAATCTTAACTGTTAAATATAAAGTATATCCATCTAAATCGATTATATATAAATATTTTTATTATTTAAACCAACTTACTTACAATTGACTTTTTATTATATTAAGACTAATGCAGTTTAAATTATTTTAGCTATTCATACACTACATTTCACTCCTTCTAGTAAGTACAAATATTTCTTATACCTCCCTTGGATGAAATTTAGATTTATTATTCTTTAAATTTAGAAATCTTTGAATATATCACAGGTTGAAAACTTTATTTCTAAAAAAAATTAGTTTTTAAAGACTATATTTTAATATAGTCTTTAAAAACTAGTTTGACTGACAAATTTTTGACTTTCAGGAACTCAAAAAAGCTTATAAATTTATAATTTCTTTAAGTCGATTCATATAATCAGTTGTAATGTATTTTATCTAAATTTTCTTTTGTTCACTTTTTTTTATGCTTTCTTTGACTGACTTTTTTGACTTATTTTTTTAAATGCACACAAATTAAAGATAACTAGAAGGCACTATATCTTAAGGTGGATGAAACTGGATAAATGGATGAAAAAACGTAAATTTAAAATATTAAAATTAAATAAAAGAATTGAAATTAAACATGAAATAAATTATTCACATTATTTTTGAAAGTGGAAAATGATTTTAATAAATATGAGAACTTCTTAAAGATCAACAATTTTCAAAATATATTTTCATGAAATTTCTGTTTGTCATGTACTTTTGAAAGTAAGAATTTATGTAATATTTATATTCAATTTTATGTTTTCTATAGCTTCTGTTGCAATTCATTCTGTTACTGTGCCAACCAGTAAGAATTCCTTTTGTTTTGCTTTATAATTATTAGTTACCTCTAAAATAACTTTTCTCTAATTAAAGCTTGTAATTTCTATGTAATATTATGTGCAGTGTTGAAATGACTAGCTACTTAAATAATCTGTTATACCTTTATTCTGTTTGTCCTAACTATTATTTTTAATTTTAACTATGAAATAATTAAGTATGCTGTAGTTATCCACCTGAATTGATAATACGTAATTTTATATTTTAATTAGCATATTTACAATCGACTTTTTATTGTATTAAGACTGATGCAGTTTAAATTATTTTAGCTATTCATACAGCCCATTTCACTCCTTCTAGTAAGTATAAAGATTTCTTATACCTCCATTGGAGGAAATTTAGATTTATATTTTTTTAAATTTAGAATGTAATGTATTTTTTAAAAAATTTTCTTTTCAAAGTTGCACACTCTTTTTGTACTTGCTTGCCTTTTTTTATACACTTTTTTGACTTATTTTTTTAACTACACGCAAATTAAATGTACGAATGGAAAAAAGAGTAAGTTTAAAATGTAATTAAATAAATTCATTGAAATGAAGCATGGAATAAATTATTTACATTATTTTTATAAATGGAATTCAGATTTTAATAAGGTTTGGAATTGAAATATTTTTTACTCAAATAGTACAGTTTTTTGGTTCATAATAAAATATTATAATATCCTTTAAGATCAATATTTTTCAAAACATATTTTCAAGAATTGTAGAATACTTTTAAAAGTCATAATTTATTTAATATTTGTTTTGCTTACCTTCTATTTTATGTTTTCTATAGCTTCTGTTGCAATTCATACTAAAACTGTGCCAACCAGTAAGAATTCCTTTTATTTTGCATTATAAGTATCAATTAGTTAAAATAACTTGATCCTTATTAAAGCTTGTAATGTAAAATTATGTGACATGTTGAAAATGTTAGCTACTTAAATAATCTGTTATATCTTTCTTCTATTTGTCCTTTCATTTTTTTAAAATCTTAACTGTTAAATATAAAGAAATTAAGTGTGTTATAGTTATCCACCTGAATCGATTATATATAAATATTTTTTTTTATTTAAACCCACATATTTACTATTTATTTTTTATTAAGACTAATGCAGTTTAAATTTTTTTAGCTATTCATACAATACATTTCACTCCTTCTAGTAAGTGTAAATATTTCTTATACCTCCTTTGGATTAAATTTAGATTTATTTTTCTTTTAATTTAAAAATCTTTGAATATTTTACAGGTTGAAACTTTGTTTCTAAAAATAAAAATGAAAATTAGTTTTTAAAAACTATACTAAAATTTTATCTTTTCTACATTTTATGAATTCAATTTTATGTTTTCTATAGCTTCTGTTGCAATTCATTCAGTAACTGTGCCGACCAGTAAGAATTCTTTTTGTTTTGTTTTAAAAGTATCAGTTACCTAAAATAACTTTTCTCTAATTAAAGCTTGTAATTTCTATGTAAAATTATGTCCAGTGTTGAAACTATTAGCTACTTAAATAATCTGTTATACCTTTATTCTATTTGTTCCAACTTTTATTTTTAATTTTAACTGTTAAATATGAAGTTTTTAGGTATGCTGTAGTTATCCACCTGTATTGTTTATACATAATTTTTTATTTTAATTAAAATATTTTAAATTGACTGTTTATTACATTAAGACTAATACATTTAAAATTATTTTAGCTATTTATACAGCACATTTCACTCCTTCTAGTAAGTATAAAGATTTCTTATTCCTCTGTTTTAGGAAATTTACATATATATTTTTTTGAATTTAGAATGTAATGTATTTTTTTCTAAATTTTCTTTTGAAAGTTGTGTAGTTTTCTCCATAGTTGTTTTGTTTCACTGTTTTGACTTATTTTTTTAAATAACTGGAAAGTGGTATATATTTTTATAATACTTATACTTTTATATGGGTAAAAAAAAAGTAAATTTGAAATGTAACCTATGACATTAAATAAATGTGTTAAAATTAAACATGATATAAATTATTCACATAATTTTTAAAAGTGGGAAACAGATTTTAAAAAAGATGAGATTATAGTATTTTCTACTCTAAATTTTCTTTTGAAAGTTGTCTTTTGAAAACAGTACTCAAATAGTGCTGTTTTTTATTTCATCATAAAACATTGTAATTTAGAAATCCAAGAAATTTCCCAGGTTGGAACTTCGTGTCTAAAAAAATTATTTTTTCAAGCTTTCACTAAAAGTTTTGACTTTCAAAAAGTTTTATTTTAACTTAATTTTATCTTTTCTTGAAGTCTATTTATTTTGTCAGTTGTAATGTATCTTTTCTAAAATTTTCTTTTGAAAGTTGTGCACTTTTTTAATACTTGTTTTATTTCACTCTTTAGATTTATTTATTAAAATACACACAAATAAAAAATAACTGCAAGACACTATATATTTATGAAATACTTACACTTTTTCATGGATGGAAAAAAAGTAAATTTAAGATGTAACTTATGAAATTAAATTAATGTATTAAAATTAAACATGAAATAAATTATTCACATCGTTTTTTTTTAAATGGGAAATAGATTTTAATAAAGATGAGACTGAAGTATTTTCTACTGAAATTATACTGTTTTTTACAGGGTGGCCCCCCACCTGAAAAACCTTGAAAACCTGGAATTATCAGGGAATTTTTTTTTATACTGGAAAAAACCTGGAAATATCAGGGAAATTTGGACAAAAACCTGGAAAATCAGGGAATTTTAAAGAAAAGCTGGAAATTTTTTCTTTTATAATTTTTTTAATTTCACTAATTTAAATTATTTACTAATTTTCTTAAGCTAAATTATTTCATCCATTATACCCACTTTTTTTTGAACGGAAATGTATCGCCAAACCGTTGAAATATCATCAACTTAGCGATACTTTGCTTGCATCAAAATTTGCTCCATTACAGCTGTTAAACTAGAATGCCACATAAAATTCTCCTACTGTTGCTAAACGAATGCAGAAACCTTTGACCGCTATGGGACTGTGCAATTTAGGAAAGATTCTGGTGTAGGTGGAAAAAGATTTAGGATATTAGCTTCTATTTTTAAATACTGTCTTTGGGCTGAATCCATTTATGGCTCAAGTTTGTTCCGATGCTTTGGTGGTAATTTTTTTTT